CAAGTGTACTCCCCCCTCAGTCGTTGCCGATTCAACGTGTCGAAGTGGGAGAGTGCTGCACCAGTGAGATGACTAGCTGCGGAAGCGCACTTGTCCTTTTCCCGAGCATAGATGGTAGGCCGTACTCCAAACATCCTTTCCAAACTGAGGACCCACGTCTTCCATGCAGACCGGTCGTCACCTGCGAAGCTTTCGATCTTACCGACGTCGAGCTTCGACTCAATGGTAATCCGATTTTTTTCTTCGTTGCTCTCCCATGTACTTCGTCCCTCGTTGGGAGGTCTAGGAGCTGCCTTACGGTGCCAACCTTGTCTTGGATCGTAGTACCAGGGTTGGTCCGGGTCATAGCGTGTTGGAGGTACGTCAGGAGCTCCAGTGGGGAGCTCTCCTCTGTCCTCCTCTCTCCTTCCACCATTCCTACTCGATTGGTTCTGTTCCCCCTCGTTGGAACCTTCCGAATTACTATCACCCGGTCCCCCGGAAGGTGGTGGAGGAGGAGGAGGCGGAGGTGGTGCCCCTCCCCCGCTCCTTTCTCCCTGTTCTCTTTGACCCTGTCCCCCTTGACTCAGAGGTCGTTCTCGATCTCTCGATTGACTAGAAAAATGTGGGGGAGGTACTCTAGGAGGGGGGTTAAAACCGCCTTTGCCTCCTCCCTCGTTTTCCAACGCGTACGCTCCTCCTTCTGGTCTCCCATACTCCCCTAGTTCAGCTCTTTGCACTCGGGCTCCCCACTCGTGAATACGTCGTCGGTCCACACTCGGAGTATCCGGGATCTGTCCTGCTTGTTCTACCTGGGGGTTTCCATCCCTAGCTCCTGTAGGAGTGTTTCGGTTAAAGGATATTGGTTCCGTAGCTTGCCAGCTCCTTGGCTGGGGAACTACAGGAGAAGGACCCCCCCTCGTATATTCTCTCATTACTCTAGGTGCTCGCCCGGATAATCCTGCCGTGTTTCCTGTTTTGGAAAGGGGTCCTCCAGTCGGTACTTCCCCCGCTGTGAATCCTTTCTTTACCTCACGGAGTTGTTCCTGGAGCGTCTCAATGACCCGAGCCTGTTGTTGGATCATTGCTACCGATTCCTGAGAGCGTGCCGACTCGAAAGCCATGCCAGGTCGGTTCATCTGAGCTCCCGTTACAAAGGGAGTTCCAAAAGGAGCTCCCTGCGGGGGTACCGCCTCTTCGTGAACTGCCAACGTTCTTCGTTGGTTCGGACCCCTTTGACTTTCCGTTCCCACTGCCTGAGATTGCATCGATACCGACCCTTGATACGGAATGACTGATGGATTGCTCAGTCTTGGAGGAACGTGTACAGGGTTGGGAGCCAACCGAGCTGTCAGATCTTGTCCGGAGATCCGGGATGAATGTTGTGCGCCATCCATCCTCACCTCACCAAACTGGTATCGCTGCGTCGAGACTGGGGTTAAAGGTTTCGTTTGCAGGTTAACTCTGGGGGGAGGAGTCGCATTTTGAGCCAAGGCATGTACAGTGGGGGAGGTCCCAGAGCGTAACTGGGGGCTCCTCGTGGCCGTGTTACCGGGGTTAAGGAGTTCAGGAACCTCGGTATTCCTGGGCGATGAATGTTTCTGTGCCAGGAAACGACCATCAGATCCATGGAGCTGCCCTTTCTGGTCAAATTGCTCCGGAGGGAACTCCCCTACGCTTTCGAGTTCGCATTGAACCATATACGAGGTTCCCCGATTATCCGCGACCAGTCTGCGACGGAATTCCAAAGCTCTTTCTAGATTCGATCCAGAAAGTTCCTCCGACAGCATCAGAGTGTCTGATTCCGCTAGTAGCGTCCGATGTCGGGTCTCCTGCGAACACAACATCGCTTCAGACTCCTCACTCCTCACCAGAAGCTGGTGCATATGCCTCATGGGCGTGTACGTGTATACCGTCTGTCCGTTACGGACCCGGACGGGACTATCCTGATCAGGCATTGACTCCACTGGGGCCAGGAGGTGAGCCGTGGTGTACCTCCTGCGTCTACGATTTTTTGCAGCGATTGCGTTAGCATCCTCGTTACTTTCCTCATCGATTTTAGCTGCTGCTTCCGCTAGGTTTGCGTTCCGAAGTATTTGGATCGCCTGGTAGTTCGGTATGTTCACCCTCGAAGGGGGAGGTTCAAACCGTACGGCTCCTGATCTGTAGTTAGAGGCTCGGTACAATATACGTAGCCCTGCTTCGCCACAGAATTCCTTCTCCCTTCCATGGGTATGAGGGAGGAGGGGAAGTATTCCCCTCGAGTTTCGGAACGATCGCCCGTAACGTGCCTCTGCCTCTAACAGTTCCAACATCCTTTCTGGGTCCAATAGGACGTTGTACAGCCAGAGAAAATCTGATCGGTTCGCGGGGGTCATCAGCCACTGCTGGGCCTTCTCTGGGAGGTCTATCTCCAGTTGAGTTCCCACTGTTAGGAACTGTACTCGTAGGTCTGAGAATTCGAGACCGTCTCCCAATATTTCGATCCCCATTGACTCCAATACCTCCCTTAGGACCATAGCTACATCCTCCGGGATACACTCCTGAATTCGAATGACGTCTTCCAGACGCAATGTCATTTCGGACAAGGGTTGTACTGGGAAGTTGGTCCTGCTATGGTGTATTGCGTGTGTACGCTCCCAGTTGGGCGTATTCATAGCTGGGCTCTTCAGGAGACTGGAGAGTGAACTTCCTCGTCTCGGGGGAGGAAGGTTAAGGGACTGTACTGGAGGTGTTGGTAACCTCCGGGATGACGTCCGAGATTGTTCGGATACGGCAGGGGATACCCTCCTCTCTGGAAGTTTCTCCTGTTGTCGTACTGTGAGAGGGTCAGTACTTCCCCCTTGTATCCTTTCGATAGCGGCTACTTGACCGCTGACTCTTCCACCCGCGTTCGAAGCTGACTCCATGTCTAGCTGCGGTATCGGTTCAGGGGGAGGTCCCCTCGTTCCCCAGGTAGGGGAGTATGCGAAACCTCCCATGGGACTACTGGCAGGTTGGGCGTAACCCATGGAGGTAAACCTCCGTTGTGGTGGTCCCATCCCAGGTTCCACTGGAGGGGGCCCCTGAACCTCCGGTTGACGTCCCTCTGGGGTCCGGATGTTACTGGCGGTTTCATCCCCAAACGACTGTTCTGGGATGGACATCAGGCGTTGACCAGCTGCCACCGTGATGACAGTGGAGCTAGCAGCCTGGTTCGATTTTTGAGCTTGTGTCGTGTTTCCACGAGATAAGGCGCTCTTTTGTTTCTTTGATTCGGTTTTGGAACTAGAAGGTCGTTCCGTTGACGTCGCCGACATTTCGTCGCGACGAGTCCGTTCGGTGACGGGAGAGCTTGGTATAATGTAAGACCTGGGTCAAAATAGGTCTTAGGGTAGGTTTTGATATGTGGAGGTTTATGTTGTAGCGTGCTAGGAGCAGGCTGGAGCTCGAAGGGAGCTACGAGAACCGCGACCGAGGACGGGAATGACCTAGTAGTGATTGGAACAACGAGATGGTGACCCTTGAGGGGTTCCTAGGAGGTCCAGGGAGGTCCCTAATGCGTAGGGAGGTTCGGGACGAGTGCGGGACCGTAAGATATTGCGTAGTAGGAGTTGTACTCGCTAGAACGTCAATATAGAGTCGAGTAGGTAGTTTATGCAACGGGGTCTCGAGGGTGTAAGCTCCCGAGAAGGGATATGCCAGGGAGGGTAGGTCCCTGGGGACTAGGTTGGAGGATGGTCGTCCTCGAGTGTGGGAGGTGGTAACGGAGAAGCAATACGTAGTTCGACGTGAGGGGTAGCTTCGACGTTACCTAGATCGAGGTCCCGAAGCTTACGAAGTAGCTAGGGAGCTCTGGGAGGTTTGGGGAAGAGTAGCTCACCAAGCGGGTAGGCGTTGGGGAGCTTTAGTAATGTTCGAGGGAGCTCGGGGACTCACTCGGAAGGCTTAGACTTGAAGTAAAAGCGTATATTCGATCGTACAGACGATCAGAGAGACAATAGACAGAAGTAGAGAGAAACAGAGGTAGAGAAACAGAGAGTAAAGAGAAATCCGTATGGTTAGCAGGTACAAAGGGACAGGGACTGGACCTATGCAAAAGGGTGTGTGTTCAAAATATACCAAGCTGGGGCTTCAGGACATTGCGGCGTTACTTAAATAGGTACGGGAAGTGAACAAGGGAACATCTGGAGGCATGAGGTAGCTAATCGGAGGGAAGGAGGTAATCGAGATTAATACTTAAAGGGGTTATCGGCTAGAGGGTTCTCGTACGCGTGTCGGGGTGAAGGACGTTTGGGTAGCTGCGTCAGAAATACTTGGGGAGGTGTCTGGTGGTACTTGGGGAGGTGCAGAGGACATACGGGAGGTGGGTAGGACGTATGGTAACGTGCGGTGGGTACTGGGACTGGTCTGGTTGTAGCCAGGGCATGACAGTTGTGAGTCATTCTTCTATCCTTTCCTACAACTGAGTTGTGACTTTGTTTTTAGTTGCCGAAAATGAATCCGTTCCCTCGCGATCGAAGTATTATCATTCTAGACAACTGCGCTATTCACAAAACACATGCTCTTCGTGAAATTGTTGAGGCCCATGGATGCAAAATGATATTTTTGCCTCCGTATTCACCAGATTTCAACCCCATTGAAGAGAGTTTCAGCTGCCGTATGTTGCAATACATTCACTTCCATTCTCAACTAACATGTTGTCTGCAGTCAAAGCCTGGATCCGGGGACACTGAATACGAATACGGGATGCATATGATCCCGAGGTTGCATTGTATGAAGCAACTGGCTCAATTACGGGTGAAAAGGCAAAGGGATGGTTTCGACATTCAGGTTATAACCTAGTGTAAAGTAGTCTAAAGAATGTGTAGCTGCAATATGTACGGAATGCAGTATTATAAATGACAAATGTGTGTAAGCATAAGGGAAACAAATATTATCAGCGAAATAAAAGTAGAACAAAATGGATAAGATATGATTGAAGCAATTTATAGTCAGCCAAATGATTTTACAAAAATTCAACAAAATCGAAGGTGAAAAGACTACTTTCTGATGTGCTTGCCATGAGACTTGTACTTGTTATAAGCCCTCATCACCTGCGAATGCTGAACAGGTTTGATGCCAGCATTGTGCCATTCTTGTGGTGTCACATCAGTCAAGCGTTCGCCTGGTTCATACCCCAGTTGACAAAGTCCAGCCTTAATATCATCACTGAGGCCATACTCAGCACAGAAATCAGCCAACGCATAGCCCTCAGGCGCAGCAGGTGGAGACGAGCATACATGAACAGATGGAGGGGAATATTGTTCAGCATGAGCAAGTGAAGTCCAAGTACCACCTGCCTGCATAGCAGGCATGCCACCATACGGATACATTCCCATCGGCGGCGGCATTGGCGCTGGCATCGGATATGGACCATAAGGCACCATGGGCATATTGGGATAACCACCGGGGTATATCGGAGTTGCTGGTAAGGCAGGCAGAGCAGTGGCAGATGTCGACGGAGTATTTGGAGAAGTCTTCTTGATGGCCTGACTAGCATGGAATAGTGCAGATGAAAGCGGAATTTGAGTCCAGCTAACGCCCGGTTTATTGTCTCTCTAGTGGAAATGAATGAGGTTCGATATAACAAAACCATATAAAGATAACATACAATGTCACGGGCCCAGACTAGAAGACGTCCGTGAGTCAGTTCAAAATGGAGGTTGCCGGGACGGTAATGAAAGCACGAAATGGTTGGGTTGTACTCGCACTTTCCCACTGGATCAAGTGACTGAAGGTGCTGTGTAATGCCTTCTAATTCATCGTCAATCTTTCCCTAAACGAGTGTAAGCATTTTGATTAGCAGACAATTTATGTAAAATACCTTCTTTGCTACAGGACCCTGAAAGTCATCATCGGAACTCTCGTCTTCATCAATCACAGATTCAACAGTAGCAGGGATGATTGTTTGAACAGGTTTCTTCATTTGAATAATGACGTAGGCCTCATCCTTTGCATGCTTTTTCCTCAACTTACCAAGCATAGACTGATAACCCTCCTCCATAGTAATAGGAAGCCAAGGACCAGTCGCTGGTGAAAGAAAATGCCACTCGAATGACTGAATGGAAAGGCCAGTGACAGGAGCGGGAACGAGACTGGCAATTTTAGAAAGGAAAGCAGCGTAGTCAGTCTCTGAAGAGACATAGATTGGCCCTCGCTTCTCAGGTTCCTGTTTCGTAGCTTTGCCTTTTGTTTTCTTGAGTTTTCCAGTGATAGGTCGGTCTGGCTTTATGAGGTGCAAGAGGAGCTCAAACGTAAATGAAGGCACTACCGGAATGATTTCACTATGAGAAGCAGCAACAGGAGCCTTTTTAGGACGACCGCGGCCCCGTTTGATAGAAACAGGCTGGGCAATAGGTTCCGGGTCTGGGAATTGCAATTCTTCGTCACTTGACAATTCGACAGGAGGAACTAAGTGATATTCCATTCAATGAGTGTGTTGAACAGCATAGGAATTCAACAGACCTGGAGTGACGGCTTGCAATCCATAATTGACAGTCCTCGGCATATACACTTCTTTGACTAATAAGGTACAAAAGTGCTATTCAGTAAACGAGCAATAATGCATTGAAAATGACTCACGTATATTAGATGGATCAGGTAAGGAGTCTTCTGAAGGCACGCGGCGGGACTGAAAAGCTTCAGCATCCTCGTTGAAGAAGGTATCCAGTTCAGGTAGCCTTGGCAAGGTCAATGAACCACGGGTATGCTGGGTATGGCGGCATCCAGGTTCAGAATTGAACAACGAGTTCCCACGTGGAGGGTACATATACCAATATCGAGGAGGAGAGCGTGAAGGTACCCTTGGAAACATGACGGGGTCTTGAACAAACGGTGCAAGCAAAAAACGGCGGGAAGGAGAGGGAGGCAGAACGTACTCTAACGTACTCTATTCATTACACATTCTTACCCGACGTCAAGGCTCGGGTACCTTTTTATTTTATTTTATTTTATGAGCTCATGTAAATTTCACGAATGTCATCATTTTCCGAACACGCTGTAAGTTCCTGGGAACATTGTTGCACGCTGGTAACTGGCTGTCACTGGTTACTTGTTGGAATATCGGGTGGAGACAAACATCAGCAAAAAGTCAGGCTCACCGTGAGGCGAAACAATGCATCGTACTGCATTGTAAGGTGTGACAACATTGTAAGGCAGCAACGGCATTGCGCCGCCTCGTTCGCGAGAAATTCCTCGTGCCAGCTACAATGAAATTCGGACCTCGCAACTGATGTGAGGATATTTGAGGCTTACGAGGCACTGCGATCCCCCGGAAACTACTGTACATTACCAGGCAACATCGCGCTGAATCTCTCCGTTGGTCGTACTAGATCTCATATATAAATAACAATAATGCTATCATTGACCAATAGTAGGCAAATATACATGATATGAGAATAACAGGAGCAGCAATGCAGAAGCAGTAGCAGGCATAAGCACAATAACTAGAATACAACGTACGAGAGCCAGTAGTTTGAAAGTAACGCGACAAAGATAGGAACAGCAGAATGAATGTGGGACATCAAGATATCGTGGTGGGGGGTGTGTTCCGAGCCTTTCGAGCAGCTCGAGCCATGGCAGTGGTAGAAGTTGTATGTTCGCTTCCTTCTGTGTCTTCACATTCCAATTTGTCTAAATCCCAGGTGTCACGACCGCCAAGCCCATCTTTATGCCCGAACACTTTTCTGAAGAGTGTATTAGAGAAGAATATGAAGATATACTGTCACGTACTCGTTCCAGTCAGCCAGAATTGAAACAACATGTTCATCCTTAGGGTAGTCTTCAAAAAAGTCGACAATTTCGTTATAGAATACAACGTAATCAAAATGATTATCTGGGATGTTCCATTTCTCAACTGAAGAAAGTGCAAAACGGGCCTTAAAGAGAGTCAATAAGCGAGGTAGCTCTCGAAAGCATCTCACCTGTATCGCTGCATATGCAATGTTTCTGCCAGTGACTTTCTTCATCCCATTACGAGCAGCTATAGAGTTTTTTTTGATAAGTGCCGGTTTGAGCTGAACTAATTCCAAAGAAGATAGCAAAGAAAACCTGTTGAGAGTACGATTAGTGTTAGCAAAAAATAGATATGAAGATTGAGATACAGAGAATAATGTGCCGCCAGTGAACAGTCCTTTTTCGATGTCATTGACGTCGGCTAGATCTTGATCATATAGAAAAGCGGGCCATTCTGATGCCTCGATACGGACTCTACGATTCTCAACTTTTTCTATAAATCTAAAAAAGAATGAATGCATATATGCTCATCAAATTGACTGAATAACAAACGTTGGATCATCAACCTTGTTTCGAAAACATTGAGGAATAATTAAACGAAGAGTAGCAGGGTGGTTGATGCCACAAAGAGACTTCGGATATTTTGGAAGATACGTTTCATTGTCTTTGAAAATTATCCAGTCCAGGATGTCACGACAGATGATGCCAGTGTGATATTGTCGAGCACATAGAGCACTTCGAGAGATCTAAGATATGTGCATAAATTCAAGGTACCAGTCAAAAGTGGGAGGGAACATACCTTGTCCAATGCATTGACATACTTCATTTGACCTTTCTCAGTATGTGCTTTCATTAGAAGAGTTTCGAGGATAGGTGCTATTAGTACAAGTTGATCCCATGCCTGGAGGAATGGTTGGTCGGATTCGGCTGGCCTATGAATGGTGAGATGAGTAAATGGTCAAAGAAGATCACTTACTCATATCCCTCTTCGAGGGATTCTAGCTTAGTCATTTCAATTGCACTGATATTGAGGAATGCATCAACGGCACAGACAGCCCAGCGCCCAGCTTTGTCCATAGGATTGATGTGATGTTTTCTAGAATGACTTAAGTAAATAGACGATGAATGACATTCAAGAACAACGTACGGAATATGGATTATCTTCACGCGAGTCTTTTCCTTCCTACCCTTTTCCTTCAATGTATCATCTTGAGCTATGTCATTGTTATTGCCGCCATCAGAAGAATCTGAGTCACTTGTGCTATCGCTTCCAGAATCGCTTGAAGAATCAGAACTAGAGGAGCTACTACCAGCATTGTTGTTAATTTTGAGTAAGCTTGAGGGAATAGAGTTAATGTTTGAAGAACACGGAGGCTTTTTAGAGGATTTAGACAGCTTGACTACAGGAGTAGACCGTTTGGTGGAAGGCATAGTGAAAGTAAATGGAAAGAATTGACAAAGTTGCTTTGACCGCTTTTATAAAGCACATGATCACATTACTTGCAATGATGTGAAGATTGTCAGCAAGGAGGCCAGAGATGATGGCAAAGCAGTGCGTGCGGAGTTGAAGGGCGAGATCCAGCGAGTGACTGCAGTGACGAGGGAGAGCCTAAAAGAGATGCAGGGACGACTGAGGCAGGAAATGGAAAGTAAGTGTAATGAGCAGAAGAAAAAAGCGGAGGCGTACACGGCGAAGGTGGAGGATGTAGTAAAGGATTTGGTGGCAAGAATTGAGGTCCTGGAGAGGCAGAATCGAGAGCTGGAGGGCAAGAACAGCAACCTTGAGTGCAGGGTTGATAGGGTGGCACAAGAGAAGAGGCAAGAAGAGGAGGCACAGGTTGAGAGGATGTCGGAACGGGTGAGAGAAGTTATGGGTTACGGGGCACAGAGAAAGAGGCTGGGGGAGGATGAAATGGCATATGAAGGCCATAGTGGGAAGTTCCCGCGTGGTAACGGTGCAGAGTCAGTATACGATATGGGCGGCAGGGTAGTGAATGGAGTAATGATAACCGAGGGAGTGGTCAGAAGGACTATCGACGGAATGACTCTCACACTCGCGGGAACTATCAGCAGGATCAAGGGTATGGGGCACCACTGCCACGTCTTGCACAACCACCCACATCTGCGCCAACGGCCCCAGCCAGGGATAAGAAGGAGCTGAAGTTGGCCATTGGGGTGTTTCAAGGGCAGTACGCCACAGCTGGTGTGGGTGCTCAGATTGCACTCATTGCAAAATCGGTCCCAAGGAGTGTCATTCCGGGCGATATAAGGAGAGATGAGTATCAGTTTGGGGTCTTGGTCATGACATTTCGGTCATATAATGATAGGGATGCATTTACACGGGAGTGGAGTGCAGGTTATAAAAACTCACTGAGTGAGCGGGAAGGACTGAAGCTCCGAGGTATGGGGGAGGATTTTTAGAGGGGGCTGGGGGTCTTTCACAGGTCAATGAGGTCGAATCTGAACAAACAGAAGTGGGGGTAGATAGTTTCAAAATATGTACTGAGATGCTATGGCAAAGCTTCAAGGGTATTGATTCTTTGCTCAGTCAAGGAAGGCAGCAGAGCCATGGGGGCTGCTGGCAAAGTATCTGCATGAGGTGTTGGAAGTATTCTATGCTGTTGAAATATATCGGCTGGAGTGACACACTGCATGCATATTGAGGCAGGGAAGACCGTGTAGTTCATGATACCATGGGAGGGGTTTTTTTCCGCTTTTCCCCTCAATAACCAGGACATGGATGATCATAATCGCCCCCCTGTATTAGATATGTGTGTTCCATTATTGTACAACATTATGTAATATTGTACAGTACATGGTAAACTGGTTGTTCGGGAATTGGACCTCGCCAGTATAATTCATATCCTATCCTATCCTATCCTTGCACTCACGTTTTGACGTATAACGCTCCCTTACCACACTTGTTTCGCTGCTCAACCTCTATATATTATATAAATGGTTAAAACTATTTGTACATCTGTCATATGCATGCAATTCACCCATACGCTTCCCGGCCCGGCCCAGAGCGGCCGGACTTCGGATTAATAACCTTGTGACCTACATTCTATTTATTTATTATTCCGAGCTTTCATCGAGGTCTTCTGACTGTATCTGGGATGTATATAAGCTAGAATACTTTGTACGTTGTAGTAAAGCTTGAAATCAAGTGTACCATCTTATCCCAGTCTTTAATATCTTCTTTACCCTTTGCTTCCGGACTCCCGGATCACAGGAACCCCATCTAGGCTGCTCATCTTGACATTATATCCTTGCCATTATATTCCCGGGGACACCAACAGTGTGTGAAGGGTGTTGCTAATAGCTTCACCGACGTCCCACTCCCAGTGTGTACTACAGGCCAGTACTCGGCTCCGGACCTCGGAGTTATCCCGGGCCATTTCCGGCCCATATCTGGCCTCAGAACCTCTATAGTTATTGACCTGTAGGCACGGTCTTGTCAGTATTTCAAGCTTTCACTTCATTACACTGTTCCTTCACCGAAATACCCCTCCATTATGTCCTTTGGCTCTGATTCAGGATCCTTCCTCGAGTATGCCTTATCTTTACCTGATCCGGTCGGCCCGGACCCGGAAACTTCGGATTCATCGGACCAATCTAGCCCATCTGACCACAATTCTGAACAAGAATCAGTTCAGTCCAGTACTATTTCCGATCCTGACCAGTCAAGTTATGACTCGGAATTTCCTGGCCCATTTGATTATGATTATCTTCATGAATCCTCTGACTTCGACTCGGATCACCCCGGCCCTTATGATCTCCGTTACCTACATTCCTATCCTTCATCCTCAGCCTCAGACTCGGTTGAGTCTTTCCACTCGTTTGCCTCTGATAACTCCGAAGCGCCGGAACTCCGGCCCGGTGATGACAGATCTGGTCATCCTCACCTCGGACCCGATGGCAGGCTTTTGGACTCTGAGAGGGAAAGGCGCAGGGTGCTCGGGTTGTGCTTTTATTGTGGAGGAGAACATATGAAGGTAGATTGTCTCAAACTGCAGGCCTGTACAGGACAGAACTACGATGCAGATAACTCTGAATCGGATGTTCCGGGCTCCAATGATGGTTCCGAGTAATTCCTAATTTTTTCTACATTTTAATTCCGACTTTTCCGACCATTTCCGATTTCCTTTCCTTTCATGATTTTCACTTATTTGACCTTACAAATTCCTTTCTTTCCGAACTTCGGCCCGATTTTTATGCCTTTCATGATTATTGATTGTTTGACATTATGATTTACTTCATTTCCGAATTTCGGCCCGATTTTTTGCCATTACTATTCCAAATATTCATTTTCTTTATGCTAGAACACATTTCCGCTTTTTCCGAAATTTCGGCCCGAGATTTCGCACCTTTCCATGATCAATTTTTGTTGACAGTATAATTTACTTTGCTTCTAAGCTTCGGACCGCTTTTTTTCCCATATGTTCCACTTCTGTTTCGAGTTTTTGAATATTCAGGTAATGTTTCATTGTAATAACTATTATTGCTTCATTCCGGCCCGATTTGGCTGATGTTTTTGCTTATTATTGATTACTAATTATTCCATTCCATGTTTCCGACCTTGCTCCGATTTTCCCATCATTTTATTGACATTATCTCAAGCTTGCTCATTAGCACTTTGTCATGCCTTGCCTGATTTTGCTTCCTTACCTATCATATTCCTCCTTACTACCTCCCTATATCTCCCCACTGTATACCCAGAGCTCCCCTTGTCCGCTTTTACCATTATGTAATATGCCACATGGCTGTCACATGTATAGTATTTAGGCTGGGGACTCCCCTCGGAGCTCCCCAGCGTGTTATTGTCAAATCTTATCTGGAAACTCTTCCAACCTGGCTTGGTCCCTGTTAGTACAGTCTACTTGTACTTGCTAACAGGGCCTGACACGTCTCACCTGTCATACATTTCCTCTTTATCTGTTTCCCTCAACTCTGTTTCCTTCACCTCTGTTTCACTCAACTCTGTTTCTCTTCTCTGTCTCACCTCTCTGAACACCTCTCTCAACTTCCTGAGCCTCTCCTACGACTTACAGTCTACGTCGAGGCTCCACACCCCCAACCACCTCCATCCTCACCAACTACACCTCCTTCCCCCACTCCAGGACCTTTGGCTAGGTCCACCCAAGCTCCGCAACCACCACTGGTCAGGCTCCCTACACCAGTAGCGGCACTTATCCCACCTCCCCTTGTACGGCCTAGGCAGCTGTCCTGCTTGCTTAGGCCCAGTCCAGATAGGACGAGAGCAGGCCTTTTGTGCCAGGCCTCACACACTTCCATTCACTTATCTGTTATCATTTCTATTTATGTTGATTCCTTGCTTCACCCACAAGCTGCTCCTCTGTTTTAGTAGGATTTCATTGATTATTTGTTAGGATACAGTTTCTACTCCCACTTAGATCCGTTGATCTCCCGGGTAGACTGAAACACTTTTTTCCAACTCATTTTTTATGATTATCCTTATAGCGCTTTCCGGCTTTGCTTCCCATGGAACTTCCGGTCTCGGGATGGTTCTACCATCATTCTGGACACTTTGTGTCAATTTCGGCCTTTTTAGGCATCGCTCTTGTGTGGATATCAGCTCAGGTTATCATTTTTGGCAGCACTTTGTGTTGATTGGTATGCCGGACTTTTCCGCAGTTTCCGACGATTTTTCCGGCCCAATCCCGCCCCTCGGCTCGGATTTTATTCCGAAATTTTCCCTACTCCATTACCCTATCCTCCTACATCACCATTTACTCCAACTTCGGCTCTTGATTCATGGCTTTCGAGGGCTCAAGCGTACTTGGGGGATACTGCTGTATTCCAGTCCTGTATTCCAATTTTCGGACCGGCTGCTCCCGATTTTTCCGAATTTCGGAACTTGTTTTAGTCTTTTGAGACTTCAGAACACTTTCCGGCCGGCCCGGACTTCGGAAGTTACGTGGTCATCCATTCTTTTGTTGATTATTTTGTTACGAGTTTACTTTCTTTCAATCTGGTTTTTGTTTGCTTTATTAAGTTTCTTTGACCCCCTACATCGGCAGGCCGATCCTTTCCAATTTCTCCGAAACTTCCACTTTTAATTTATTCTTCACTACTGGATCTAATCCAATCCCTTTGCTTTACTATACTTTACTATTTCACTGCACACATATTTACAGAGGCCTTCGTGGGCTCAGGCCTAACGGGGGGATACTGTCATATGCATGCAATTCACCCATACGCTTCCCAGCCCAGCCCAGAGCGGCCGGACTTCGGATTAATAACCTTGTGACCTACATTCTATTTATTTATTATTCCGAGCTTTCATCGAGGTCTTCTGACTGTATCTGGGATGTATATAAGCTAGAATACTTTGTACGTTGTAGTAAAGCTTGAAATCAAGTGTACCATCTTATCCCAGTCTTTAATATCTTCTTTACCCTTTGCTTCCGGACTCCCGGATCACAGGAACCCCATCTAGGCTGCTCATCTTGACATTATATCCTTGCCATTATATTCCCGGGGACACCAACAGTGTGTGAAGGGTGTTGCTAATAGCTTCACCGACGTCCCACTCCCAGTGTGTACTACAGGCCAGTACTCGGCTCCGGACCTCGGAGTTATCCCGGGCCATTTCCGGCCCATATCTGGCCTCAGAACCGCTATAGTTATTGACCTGTAGGCACGGTCTTGTCAACATCATGCGGGAAATCTTTCGATAGAGGTCGTGGACTCTCTAACCATCAGAGGATCTGTCCAGGAACGAAACATGTACGGATAGACCAGGCCAGAAGCAGGGCTTCTGCTGCTGAAGCTCTTCGTAAACACCTCAAAATGAAGATAAAGAATCAGAAAGCAAAAGTGGATATCAGGGTAAAGTAACAATTCATTCTTTGTTAAAATTTGGTTGCTCAAGGTGATTCAGGCTCAGTCTGAACACGAAGAAGTTGACATGAATGGGGAGGACAAAAATCAGGACACAGTTTGGAAGGTACGCTAGACTCACATGTATACATTGAATTTAATTTTTATTGATTCATGCTCTAATCAGGATGTTGATACGTTTATGTATGATGAAAATATACCCATCGAACATGAGAACGAATATCAACCTGATGATATTGACTTACAGCGGGAAGCTGATGCTCTTATGCCAGTTGTTCCTGCAGGGCGACCAAAACGCCAGCATTTCCTTCCTGCAACATTTCGTGACTTTGTCCCCTCTCAACCTTCCACTCTTCCATCCGGGTTACCATCCAAAACTCGAAATGGCTTGACACCTCCGCTTCCAATTTCCATTCCTGCAACTCCAACTCGGAGATCTCCCTCTGTTCAAGATATACATGCTCCTTCGTCTACAGTATCCACAGAGCCTGACCAGTTTGGCCTTTTTCGCGAGTACATTCAGTATCCAACATATGAACCAGATGAATTCAGCTCGTTTGATGATCTTTGTGATGCAAGCATGTTCAACATATCTCAGCCTCCTGCGCGCGATCCAGAGAGCGGCTTTGGTCCACGGAAATATGCTTCGGATGCGCTTTCATCATCTAGTCATAGATTTCAATCTTTGTCTAAGTCAACGGATTCATATGCTCCCTTCCCAAACACGTCTACCTACCACATGATGAAGTTTGCATATGATGAACGTAACGACAATTCTTTTGGCCTTGCTGGGATTCAGAGGGTAAATGAGGAAATTATCCAACAGCCTGGCTTCGATCCTAAAGACCTCCGAGGGTTCAACGCTCAAAGAGAAGCAAGGAAACTTGACGAATTCATTGCATCTCAGTCCGTCAATTCAAATCTTCCTTTTGACACTCATGCGGGCTGGAAGAAGAGTTCGGTGAAGATATCCCTTCCCTGTACTGGAAAGAAGAATAGCGAAGACAGGGCTCCTACAGTTGAAGTTGACAATATCATTCACCGAGACCTGTTGGAGGTTATGAAGGAAGCTTACTCATCCGAGGCTACAAGCAGATGTGGGAGCGGTAACGAGCTTGCCTCGTTTTTGTGTGAAAGAGAAAGGAAGGAATCTAATACACAATATGCGAGTTCACTGCTATCAAATTTATTTAATAGCAAGGGGTAGCGTTGGCAAAGGTTCCGCAAAGCTTTGAAAGCTAAGTAAGAAGCTTTGATCAATCAATTTGAATCGTTCTAAGGATTCGATATATTCCTTTGATCAAGGTAGATTCAGCACGATTCATGCTTTGGTTTGTATTGATATGGGTATATCAAGAATTGGGGTTTTTGAATCAAAGTAAATTAAAACCGGAACACACAGACCCCTAAAGAGGGCTAGAACTATGTGCTGGCACAACCACACAGCGTGATTTGCCCTTAAGACCAACAACTGATCCTAAGTTCGAAGAATACCCAACAACTGGATATACTTCTCGCAGTCACAAGGAGCAGAACACAACGTTCCTATACTCACAAGTGCCAGGCCCGAATGGCTGCTAGTGAAGAGGTTTCAGTCTGGCGGGAGTGTGTCTTTCCTTTTTACGGATTAGCACTGCAACGTCGTCCCAAAATCACTTGTATTCCAGATACATTGGATCGCTATTTATACATACAGAATATAGAGTCGCACAGTACAATTAATTTAATACCATAAACGTTCGGAACCGCAAGAAAACTTCTACAATCGGTCAGATACTATTTAATTTGAATCTTCATGTCCTTATTTGGTCCACAATGGTTCCAAGATTCAAGTATACCTCCAAACATAGGTAGGTACTTCGTTATTCATTTAATTTAATTGTTTTTGGAGAATGACTCGAATGGTGTCCAACTGCCATTGCTGTTCAACACTTACTTCGATCATTTGTCACCTCGTCCAGAGGCAAATCAGCTCTCCTCGATTCTAATCCTATCAATCTGATTCATCTGGATTAAACTAATTGCTTCTCTCTTTCAATAGACACCCATTGTGCCTATACTCTATTAAGGGAGTTACGCATAGTATTTATTTAATTGCATTCTTCAATATTTTCTATGTCAGGACTCTTTGACATTCATTTGATATGTCTTCGGAGCCTCGCAGTACTTCAATCGTTCTTCTAGTCATTTTCCTCAACCATGCAACTGCCAGTGTAAGGTCCAATAAGAATACCCTTGGTATGTCATACGTGAATGGTCATCCTTTGGATGTAGTCCGAGTCTAGTATAATCCTGCTTGACAAACAGGTAGACTGCTATCCGAAGGTAGTATCGGGGATGGGTAAACTAACCACTTGTGGTAGTATGGGTATATGGTCCCTTCAACTTATTAGACTGATTCAGTATTGACTTTGACTGTCAATCTGGGTCTCAATTACAGTCCTCTCGATACAAATCTATACGTGAAAATGTCACAATTCACAGCATAGACGTCTAGCCAAAATTTAGGCGTGTCAGCGGGATGAATATCCAGAACCTATTCGGGTCCATGGCGAGGTTTATACTTCGGATGCATTCCTTCAGATGGAGAGTGAGGTTTTGAGCAGTCCAGCTGAGCCAGGCTGTAATCTCGAACGCGTTGTGGTTCCCATCATGGCCTATTCAGATTCTACACACCTTGCCAGTTTTGGTACTGCTTCCATATGTCCTGGTTATCTCTGGTTCGGTTCTCAGTCAAAATACTCTCGTGCGAAACCAAGTAAGTTCGCTGCACATCATCTTGTGTATTTTCCTTCAGTATGTCTTTCACATAGTATGCAAAATATCTGCTCAAGGCCTTTCTAGCTTCCAAAAACAGTCAAGGATGAGTACACAAAGCAATTCGGTCATGCTCCAAGTGATGAAATGAAAACTCACCTCAAACGGGAACTCAAACATGAGGTTTGGAAGCTTCACCTCACGGTAGCTTTCCTTCATGCATATGTCCATGGTGTTGTGGTTGAAGGGCCTGATGGTATCCTTCGAAGACTATATCCTTGATTCTTTACTTACTCAGCTGATTATCCTGAAAAGTAGATATTTATTCTGCCATCGATTTAGTTGTGAATAACTGACAGTTTTATTTAGGATACTCCTGGCCAGTATCAAGAATCTCGGTACACATCTATGCCCTCACTGCACCATCAAAACAAGTGAAGTTTCTGGAATAGGAACCTGAGAAGACATGGCTAGCCGTGAGACCTCTCGCCAAATCGACAATAAAAGGCTTCAAAAAATGATTGAGAAGGCAAGAAAGAAGTTCTTCAAACATGGCAAAGGGATCGGAAGCACTGCAGTTGAGAATGAGTTAAAGGGCTCCTGTACTCCTCACCGGGTACGTTTCCACTGATTCAAGCTTTCTCAACAATTAACGATATGCAGAATGCTTTCTCTGCAGCTTTCCATGATCTCGGGTTCAACTATTTTGCTCTTTTTGTAAATGATATTATACATGAAATCGAACTTGGTACCTTTCGAGACCTCATCATCCACCTCATCCGTATGTGTCATGCAATGGGGAAAGATACTGTACAAGAGCTCAACCAGAGGTTCGTGTTGTACTTGTCATTCATATATGAATCTCATGTTCTTTAGATTCCGAAGTGTTCCAACATTCGGACGTGGAACTATTCATCGATTTGTTGACAATGTATCAGAATTGAAAAAGCTGGCTGCTCGTGATTATGAGGATCTACTCCAGGTATGTTCAACTTTTTATCCTCACTTTGAGTGCTCATTGAAGTGGTCTAGTGCGCACCAACTTGCTTCGAAGGACTCTTCGCCACCAGGTCTCAAGAGATTGATGACCTTGTTCAAAACCTGCTTGCTCATATGGCCACCTGGCATGCTTACGCCAAGCTGCGCCTCCACACTGACTTGACATTAGAGTCATTTGAGGTGGCAACCATAGAGCTGGGATGTCTCCTGCGTACATTTGCCATTCAAACTGCTGAAAAATTTGATACTCAACTCCTTCCTCGTGAGGCTGATGCTAAAGCTCGGCGAAAATCCAAGAAGAAGAAGACTGACAGTCAAAATAGGAACAAAATAGCAGATAGCAAACCACGTCGCAAGCTTTTCAACCTCAATACCTACAAGTTTCATGCACTTGGAGATTATCCTTGGACCATTCGAACATTTGGAACTACAGACTCTTACAGTACACAGCTAGTGAGTATTATCTATATATTGCATTTTCGTTCTTTAATGCATGTGTAGGGTGAATTGGAGCATCGTTGTATCAAAAGACTCTACATCCACACCAACAAAATCCACTTCACATTTCAAATTGCACGGCATGAGCAGCGTCGACGTGCACTCAAGAATCTTTTACGAAAAAAACCAACTAACATCCAACATCGCGCTACTCAATCAAAGGTTTCAAGACCTTCACTTTCCTTTGATGACTCCGATCCTCTTCCGTTCACAGACCCTACCACACACTACCACATTTCATCAAGCACACGCTTCTCTGAGAATATAGTCACTTGGCTTGGTGATCTTCAATATGATCCCGCATTTACGGTGCGTCAAAGTTACCATTAGTCATTGTTAAGTCTTTGTACTGACCGATTTGTAGAACTTCCTTCCAAAACTTAAGGATCATATCTTGGAACGACTTCTTGGCATACCTCAAAACGAACATGAATTTTCCGCTGCACAGCGTGCTACAATTACCTTCAAAAATAACAAGATCTTCCGCCATAAGGTCATACGTCTTAATTATACAACATATGACATGCGTCGCAACCAGGACTCATGCAATCCTCGAACCCACTCCGACATCATGATGCTCTCTGGAGACCCAGAGACCTCCTCCGAGCACCCTTATTGGTTCGCTCGAATCATTGGAGTCTACCATGTTGATGTCATTCATTCCGGTGGACTCTCTCAATCCCTTCTTGCTCAAAAACTTGACTTTTTGTTCGTTCGCTGGTTTGGACTAGCAAATGAACAGGAACAGTATGGTATCTCCACCAAGCACATGCCAAAGCTCGGCTTCATTGACACCAGTAATCCGGAATCGTTTGGATTTGTTGACCCTAGTAATGTTATCCGTGGATGTCACATTATCCCTGCATTTTCCGATGGGAAAACTGACCAATTTCTCGTTGGTCCTTCGTTAGCAAGACGGGAGGCCAATAACGGTGAAGATTATTTTCGCTACTATGTGAACATGTGGGTTGATCATGACATGTTCATGCGCTTTCGTGGTGGCGGCGTTGGTCACAAGTCCACTCTCTCCTCCACCCGAGTTTTTGAAGAGCAAAACAATGTCAAGCCTGGAGATAAGGATAGAATGTTCGATGCAGCAGCTACTGCTCTTGTCCATGAGGAGGATGGAGAGAGTGATGCTGTTATTGTCAGTGAGGAGGAAGAGGAAGTGGAAGTGGCAAATCATGGTAGTGATGGTGAGTTGGAGGATGTTCTAGGGCCAGAAGATGGAGAAGACAACGGGATTGATGAAGACTATGAGGGGTTTGCGGAATATTAGTGCTTAAATTTCATATTTTGTGTTTCTCGGTTCCGGTTTCGGGTGGCTGGCTTTCGGTTTTTTCGCTGGTTGCGATGTGGCGTTCCTCGTGCTTCGTTGTACTGATTCTATAGGACCCTTGTACTTCATCGTACTGATTCTATAGGATCCTCGTACTTCATTGTACTGATTCTATAGGACCCTCGCATTGCATCGTGACAGTAGCTCCCATCGTGTCACCTCGGAAGTCACCATACAGTACATATTCATCTCAGGATGCATCGCAAATGCACCTGGAATTTGCAATGCAACACATGCGACGGTCTCTTTTGCTGATGAATCCATGCTCGTCACTATCGGTTGTTTATGGTGCAATCGGGTATAACACAACCAATTTGGAACAACTGAATTATCTCACGTGAATTTATTTAAATTTCTTATCCCTATTACAGAAATGCATATAATGATAGAGGGAACAAAACTGTAAGACCGATTTTTGATACCTTCAAAATTGATGAAATAAGTTCCCACCGAATGGCGCATTTCCAAAATAGGAAGCTATTAGGGTTAGGGTTATGCTTATAATCCTTTTTACTTTTTTTATTGTCTCTCATCGTACCTTGATAAATATTACATTCACATTATTTTCAAGTCAAAAGCTTTTGATTGCATGCTTGGGCACTATTTGTGAATCTCAGAACTGTTGTTTCTTGGTCAAAATAAACAAGTGTAGGCACAAAAATTTTTTGCTGACCCCAAATGGCGCCTGTTCCTGATTGGTTGTGTTATACCCGATTGCACCATACAAGTTTGCAAGATGATATTCATCTGTGTCCTGGGACGACTAAGGTGTACATGTAACAGCATGTAACCAGATGTAACCAGATGTAACCCTATACCTATGTAAACCCGATGCGCAACCTTGCGCAACCAACGAGTCTTGTTGTAAGAAAGCCAACATCCTAAGCGAGCTCGTCCGTCTGATCAACGGATTATGAGCAGAACTCTCTAGGGAGGCATAGGGAGGCATACACTGCTGGACAGAATTCGACGATTTTCTTATGGATGCGCCCTCTCAAGAATTTTGAATAAATTCTTAAGAAATTCCTGAGATAGAGGAGCGCCCAAATGTGTAGAAATTCTCAAAAGTAACAATTCTCAAGAATCACGAAGAGACTCTTAAGAATATCTTCTAATTTTTGAATATACCTCGCGCGCACATGTCACGGAATCCCGGAACCCGGTATAATAATGATATCAGACCACTTTTATTTTCGGAAAATTTTGCTCGTAAAATATACCTACAGTACTACATGCCATGTTTACTATGCATACTGTTATTAGGAGTATAGTCAAATTATTACAAATCTTAATGGGCAAGATCTTGACTCTTGAACTGAGTTGAATATTGACTGTTGAAGTTTGAGGCTCCGGGGCAAAGGTTGAGGCAGCTTTGAATTTGACGACGTTGAGTCCAAGTCACTTGTTGGTGAATCAGAAAATATTGGCACCAGTTGTGTGTGTGTGATCAAGGCCTGTCGCAGCATGTTGTCATCAAGAGCTTGAAAGATATTGAGGACTGAAAGTGTGCACGTTCGCTCAAAGTCAAGCTGGTGGAAGTTGGGAAGGAAGGAAGACCAGCGCAAGGTTGTGTAATCACCGTCAGCTGACAAGAAATGCGACTCGGGACATTTCATGAGAGTGGCTAGTCAATATTCCTAAGAGTTTTGGGTTTTGTCATGATGTCTCTTACATCTCAAGAATCAAGGATAGTATATAATTTTTGGCAATATTCTCAAGATTTGCACTCTTATAGATTTTGAAAACTCAATTCTGACAAATTGCTCAAAGTTTGGTGCAGCAGTGTAGGCATCCGTACCCGTTCTGTTCTATTCTGTTCGAGTCCTGCTCGAGTCCTGCTTAGAACCAGTTGAGCGGGCGAGCTCGTTCAGGATCTTAGAAGAAATGTACTGTTCAATGATCCTTACTTATAGTAAGTCATAAAAACTTGAAAGTTATCCAGTGATGATCGTGATGTAACTCAGGGTTCTTCCCTGTTCTTCCCTATTCCAGGGACCAGGCACTTCGTGAAACCTTGTAACAGCTTGCAACGGTCTGCCGATTCTGGCCCTGTCTTTTTCCTGTGCGGCGGTGGGTGGCGAAAAGAATTCCGCGCCAAATTTGCGCCCATTTGCGCTCCTTCTAAGTTTTGGTTCTTGCATCAAAAATTTGCTCACCAAGGGTCAAGGAGGCCTGAGAATTCTTGGTCTGGTATAAAGATGGCTTTCCTGCACTTAGGGTACCTGTAACGAGTCTGGTATTCGCCACACACACCATTGTCTCCTGTCAACTTCTGAGCTGGACTCAACGAAAAAACCTGACAGACTACAGAAAATGCATGCCGCACCTACTGCCGTTCTCCTCCTCTCTATCATCCTTGTCATGGTGAACCATTCCGTGGCGGTGTCGATCCCCAAACGCATTAAAAATGCTATGACTCTGTTCACTAGACCGAAACGTGTACCCGCACCATCTACAGTGTCCACGTCGGGAATGTACGATATTGATGCTTTCATGGACGAACATTGCGAAAGTGGACGTGTAGGGACCCTTTCGGGATTGATCGGGAGCGGGCAGCACGATCTGGATCGGGAGGGGCATTATCTTATGTTCATGGCACCCTTCCCTACCGAGTGCGCACTCGATGTCGAGATGAGCACGGGCCAGGTTCGGCGATATCGACAGAATTACGATGAAGGAGATATGCTAAAAGGACATTTCTCAAGTTTATCCGTGGAATGCTAAAAAGAGTGAGCTTTGTACCTCTCTAAGTCCTCTTGACTTAGTCCTCATTGAATTTTACTTGCTCCATTTTAGCGGTGACTTCCTGCTCATATTCTGACAATGATATGCGGGAGCCTCTTACTCGAGTTTCCCGGGAACGAGGTGTAGTTCATGTGTGAAGGAGCAGCCTGCGGGCACCAAGGAGAAGCGCAAACGTTTCATTTTCCGATTGTACTTGTCCTGTACTTGTTCTTTTTTCGTTGAGTAATGAGCATGAATTTGTGTGTTTTCAGCATTGCGTGTTAGTTCATCACGTAGTATACAAATTCATTTAATTCTGCTCTTCCTGTGCTTTACTCGCAACGAACTTGCACCGCGTACTCTCACTTTCAGGCTCCATCTCCACAAAACTGCCACTCAAAATTGTCGAATTATTCTGGTCCTGCTGAAACACAATGCGTTGCTTCACCTCACTTGTCGGCCCCGTAATGAAATATTCCGGCCAGATAGGAGATTTTTCCTGTTTGAAGGTGTTGGGGTCACCAGAGCGCACGAAGGAGAGCCAATAGGCGATCAACTCTTCTGCAAATGCAGTCTCAACTGGAGTCATAGGTGTGAATGTCCCGGATCCATTGAACCCTGTATTGATCCCGTTGAACATCATCCAGTTTTCTGCTGCATGAGCAGTGAAACCGGGCATCCCAAGAGTCGGATTCGGTTGGTTATATCGATAGGTCCACGACTTGGGCGCACTAGCGAATGCTCCGCCCATAATTTCGCGCTTGTAGATGGCTATGATAATGAAGTTTATTTTGAATGTTGGAGATACATACCGCACATCTGAGCATAGATTCCCCTATCGCTGTTTGATTCCTTTGAAGTTGAGACGAGAATTCACTCAGAGGATATACCTGAATCAACAGCAAGATATCATCAGGATGTGTTATTGGAAAATTGGAAGTTTTTGACGCTGAACCTCGAGAAATTCATCAGCACTTTCGGTAGTCAATCCAGGGAAAGCAATTTTCATAGTTTCTGGAAGAGTCGGTTCAAGGGTTCCCGTCTCGTTTGAAGTCGCTCTATGAAATGGGAACAAGATTGTGAATGAGTAATGGGCAAATTGGTGGTACTCTAAAAACGTAACGTACCCCACGATCAATGGAACGTTCGCAAATTTTCCGTTTTGAATAGACACAGAAGGATAATCAGTTATAATCTTTCCATCGACCACAGGATTAAAAGTGGGATAAGCGCCAGTACTGGAGAATTGGTATCGATCAAGTCTGGAAATATTGTAGCAATAGGAAGATCTCACAAAGCGGAAGGTTGGATCCGAGGAGCATCCTGAGCTCTAGCCAATGCGCTGATGCTAGCATTTCGTAAACACCCAAGTTTGTCTACGACAGAGCCCTCGCCACAGCCGGCTGTTTCAGCATAGAAGTTGAACACAGGCTGGAAACAAAGGTCAGTCCTTTCCCAATCAGTTCGATGATATATCTTACAACTTGATTTTCTGGCATCTCGACAGGACTTCGACCCACACTCTGAGCGATTGCTCCAGAAAAAAGAAGCTCCTGGTTAGCGACGAGATGCAGTTCGACCGATGCAGCACCAGCGCTCTGTCCATTGATTGTTACTTTGTTTGAATCACCTCCGAAAGCGGAGATGTGAGCCTTGATCCACCGTAAGGACTCGGTCTGGTCAAGAAATCCTGCATTGAAGTCACCATTGGTGGGATCGGAAAACTCAGGGATGTTCAGGAAACCAAAGGAGTCAAGCCTGTAGTACACAGAGGCAATGACAACATTGGGACTTTGATGAATCCAGCTGTCAAATGGCCAGTTTGCAGGATTTCCGTATACAAAACCTTAAGTGTTTTTAGTATAGGCTGAGTATGAAGGAGTAGCATATGTTACCTCCTCCATGGAAGTAGACAAGTACCGGAACTACAGATATGTGAATCTCCATTATTTGGATGCCATCGGACCCCAAAACCTTTGAACTCTACGTACGATGGTCACCACTTCTTGCACCAAAAGGTGCATAAATATTGAGAGTCAAGCAATCTTCAGTCCCTGCACCTCCAGCATCATTGTCTACAAGACAGATAATAGATCAACCTCTTCTTTCTCCCAAGTAAGTGACAGGAAAATGCGTACCTCCCGTACTTCCCTGCACACAAAAGTTCGGATATCGTGTAGCGTCAACAACTTGACCATTAGCGTCTTGCGAGATACGAGTCGTATTCAAAGGCAACGGTGCTCGAAAACGGCGATCGCCCAGAGGCGGCTCTGCATAGGGAATGCCAAGGTAAGCAACCGTGAAGTTCTCAAAAGACCGATTGCCTTGGTATTGAGCATAGCCCGTGTCAACGATATCGCTAGCAACTGCAGCTCGGGTTGATGCAGAAAGCCCGAAGGGTATTTGCGATGAAAGTCCAAGGATGGTGATGAACACAAGAGGCAGCTTGAAGACTCGGAACAACTTCATCTTGTCGCAGGTCCAGGAACCATGGATTGAGATGGCTTGTAGTTATTGGAGTTTTTATGTGCACCACTGAGGTCAGAGGGCCATTATGGTGTTTAAATTTTGGTATCATGGGATGAGTTGGAGGAGAAAGCTGTATATAGAACGAAAGAAGAAGAATAGGGACGAATGACAATCATCGAGAATCATCGACAAAGGTGGGGGGTCCGGGCCGCGAGATGTTCTGAGTCCTGCTGACTCGGGAGGGCGGCAGGCATAGAAACAGTGTCCGACGACGACGACGAACTGTTCGTGAGTCCGCAACGGTATCGGAAAGCGCTGTCCGAAGAACTAAGCGGATATTCCTGGGGACAAAGGGGATTGGGATGTTTATCGCTTCAAGCCGTACTGTTATAGCCAATTCTTATGTCCTTCGATATGCTCTTTTAAATAATGATTAACTCCTGACCGGACATTATACTGTTGTCAAAAGATATCCAACCAGGCTTGGATTTGAGAATGTAAGGTATACAACAAAAACGACATTGATTCGCAGACGTATGTAGTTGACCTTTGAATCTCTCTCTTGGCATCCCTTTGATATGCCAGCTTCGTTTGAGTCATCATAGTTGGGCGTTAAGATTGTTCTCTGAAGAGTCGGAATTACAAAATCGAAATTAACTTGGGTTGCCTTCAGGATGAATGAACTTCAGATGACTAGGATGCGGTTGAAATTAAAGGGCTCAGTCGGTGGTTATTACGACGTATCATCATGCATTTATGTCTACGGTGATGTGAACCGAAGGAGGAGGGGAAGGCAGGGTGACTCGGTATGAGTGGCTTACTAGGCTTGGATTTCAAAACTCGACCTCCCAAATTTCAGAAAAAATAAACGTCGTCGCTGGAAGCAGGATTTGAACCTACGCACTCATAGAGTAATAGATATGCAAGAAAACCAGATTCAAATCTATCGCCTTAACGACTCGGCCATTCCAGCAGTATTGTACCTGGTCCTGGGCAAATAAGATTTGGCACAGCGGCGAATCCGAGTACATACTAGTATTGGGTTTTAACGGAAGGCGGTGCGCGCTTTGTCCAGTAAGACAGATAGAGATAAACACACATAGAACAGTGTTAGTCACTTCGGGGTTGACTATAACACCTTTCTATGGATCCCAAGAGACGAGAGTTCGAGACGAAGAGCGAAATAAGCGCCAATCGAAGCAAACGTCGTGACCGGCGCTCATTGACTTGCTCTTGTTAATGAACCAAAAGGTATTAGGAAATGTCGAACACTGGTTCCTTTAGCCAAAGAACGTCCAGCATCTCCCAAATATTGATTCACACAACTTGCTCAATTTCATCGCAGGAAACATATGTGAGCTTTTCGGATACTTACATTGCGGCCACTCCGAGTCAAAAACAGCGTAGTAGGGTTCGACTTGACGTCGTCTCACAAAGCTTCCGTTAGAAACGCTATTCTTATCTTTCGTCTTGCCATTAACAGGTCAGATGAGCGGTCGACAGTCGCTAGCAGATCCGGCTCTAATAGACCTGACAGGACCTAACATTGGCGTCAATGGAAGGACCCACTTAGATATCCACTTGGCGGTACATTTTCCACTACAATTCGTAGGCAGCATCTTGACTGGATCTATTCATATGACGCCTCATTCCAAATGGTGGGTTCGATTGCCTCCACCGCCGTGACCGTTCTCGAAATCTTTCGCATCCTAGGACACAAACCCACACCCGAGGCCCGAAATACAATCGATAATCGGATGGAGCGCTTGGAGTGCTCAAAAGCTCTGATTCAGGCATATGATGATGATAATTAAAAGTCCATCCCTATCTGGATGGGGCGTTCTTATGCATTCTATGCAGGTAACCAAAAACGTGCATCCCCAACTGGCCATGGGCTTAGGATGCTGCTCTTTGTAAATTGTTGACAGATAAGTCGTCATCTCGAAGGTTTTGAAGTACCTTGCACATCGTTTTTAGTGATCACAAGCTGTATCCGTTTTTTAGGCTCACTTCGGTTCCGAGTATTCAGGTTTTCCTTTCTTTTATGGGATTGGTTCTCTGGATCACCTCCGCTAAATGATATCATGACGAGGATCTTCAGAGGCCCATGATATCTGTGCTGCTCCCCTAGATCCTCCCAAACGCGACCTAGGTTCATTCACTTAGACTTCTTCAAAGTCCCCTCAATTGGGAACAACTCCAAGCCTCAATCTTCTGAACCCCACCTTATGTAAACCTCCTCAGTGGCACCGGAGCACTTTACACCTGGGATGCCATTGGCAAAAATCGAGTTGCAAAATCTGTTTCAGTCGTTACGTCGCTCAATCAGTGTGTGTCTGTCGATAGTCGTTATTCGAGTTTCCAGAAACTCGTTGCTCAGGTGATGAAACCGGCCATAGAAAGGCATGGCATGGCATGGTTATTATCCTACAAGAGCCTACGAGATAGTTCCTTACCAATGAATGATGGCGCTCACCTTTCCGAAGTTCCAACATGCCCAACGGTACGTGCTTGTCACCGGCGCTGTTCTATACTATTAAATCGCTCCTTGGAACTCCCTTCTATCCCCCTAGTCTTATCTTAGCTTTCCTCCTCCGAAGCATCTTATATTGTACCACTACCTCCTGTTCTTTCTGAAATTCAAGAAGCTAAAGAGTGGTTCGCAAGAGCTTCCACAGTGTACAGGAGTACAGGAGTATCAACAAGTATCAGGGAGTTTCCTGTTTAAGTCCTCTCATCCGTATATACCGAAGGATCAATCAGTCCATATGAAGATTGGTGATCATTTCGTACACTCTACTTCACAGGGCTTCACTTACCCTGCCTTTGAAGAATTCCATGAAATTATTTCCCACTCAAACCTAGCCTCTTCAGCTCTTCAGCCCCGGCTTCAGGCCATCGGGGCGGCGGACTATATATATATATTGTACCGAATCGCATCACACAGCAGGCCATTGATAAGATCTTTTCTAGGAGTGCTTACCCTTCCTGTACCCTTCTCCCTACAAATGCATATTTTTTTGGTTCAGCTGGTATCGCTCGTTCGGCCCCATGTACATAGACTGGAAATTGGATAGGAATGAGGCTGGTTGAAGGGAAACACATCGACAATCTCGAGCACCTCGTTAAATCTAAACCGCTTACATATGTACGTGCCTTATAGTAAATATCAACCAGGAACAGGTCGTTGAATCCGACGACTCGACATAATGGCTGTTGATCATAATGAAGCAGTGTGAACGTGGGAGATTCCGGGAATGAAGGATAAAATGAAGTCATCACAGTTTTTTCAACTTGTCTTCTTTTTCCATCCCAGTTCCATCTCTTCCGTTCTTTAAAAACCCTCTCTTTTCCCTCCCTCCCCATCCGAACCGCTTCAATCTCATTTTACGAGGTTATCATGGCTCGTCAGCTTCGTCAGTCTCTCTTTGCCCTTGCGGCGTTATCAAGCGTTCAAGCGTACTTCCTCGTTGGCGTTCGTATGTGTCAAAATTCACATCTTGAATTAAGAATAATAATATTTAACTGACGATCTACGAAGGCAACATTCTCGTCACCGAGAGATTGGACCCCATCCTTAGCCCAGGCGCAGTATCGGGCCATACCCACTCTGGTTCGGAGATTCCTTTATCATTGAAGAATTTACACTCATGTCCCCCCAGTCGTTGGTGGCAGCAACTTCGGTATGAATATCACCACCGATTCGTTGAGGGACAGCGAATGCACCTCGATGCCAATCGAAGAGGACAAATCCAATTATTGGTACCCAGTAAGTACATCGAATACCTTGCATCGTCAGATTTTCTTAAAAGGTATCCGACTTGTAGCATCTTTATTTTCAGTACGTTCTCCCCATCCTCACAGACCTCTTCCTTGGGTTTTGACCTCGTAATAACCAGACATAAGAACGGATCGTTCTCAGCTTTGGACGTGGGCAATGTCATGTACGTGTGTCTCTTAATTGGCCTCGCTGCCATTTACTAAGAATTATTCGCAGTTGTACGCTGTTTCTCTTCGGAATAATTTTGCGCTGCTCACTATCAACGTGTCGCCAGACTATCTCTTCAATGACGCGGCAGATGGCCAGCCCAACACGGTTCAGGCGTTCCCTGATAACGTTAGTTCATTTGTTACATGAGGGAAGCAAAGTCTGAACTTAACTTTCCACTCTAGTTCCGCATGATTTCTGGTACATCTTCGATGTTCATCAACCTTAGGTCCACGTTTATTGATCAATGACTGGTTATAGGTGATATGACGCTACGATCTTACAATGAGAGCAGCTATGCTCAGCAAGCCGTCACCTTCTTGTGTTTGGATTTCAACGGAGTGTCGACTAAATACAACATGCTTCCTCCTGTCTCATGTCCAAGTGGTCTTCGTGCTCAAATTGTGCGTTCTTCTTCTGAACTTTAATCACTGTGTATTAAATCAAGCACCCAAATAGAACTTCCCTATGTGCTGGGATGGCAAGGTGTGATCAATCAACTCTGATAATATACCTCCAGTTCAACGTCTTTACATAGAACTTGGACTCGGCCGATCACAAATCCCATGTCGCATTCCCCTCTGGAGGCCCTGACAGTGGAACATGCGACGATCCCGCATTCCCTGTAACTATTCCGCGTGTCTTCATTGAGGTGAGTTTGAGCTCATTCGAAGTTATCGTTTTTGGCCTAAACCGAAGTAGGGCTACTGGTCGACTGGTGAATGGGACGCAATCAGAGATACCGATGCCATGAACTCTACTCAACCATACGTGTAAGTCCTCTTCGTTTTCCGCTTACCGACCGCTAATCGTCGGATACCATAGCTTCTCTTACGGTGACCCCACCGGCTACGGATACCACGCTGGTATGTGAATTTCTTAGCTGATTTATGAGTCACTTCATTGACGACCACGCTCACCGGCAGACTTTTACAATGGCTGGGAAAGTGGTGTTCTTCAAAACGTTTTAGACAAGTGTGCTTGCAGTAGGTATCTTCCCTAAATTGGATCTGTCTCTGTTCCTGATTACATTTATCTCAGCTTCTGCTGGATTTGGTGATGCTACCTGCTGTGGTGAACTTGGGGTTTTCACTCTCGACACTTCTGGTACTTGCGCCATCACCTCAATCGTTGACGAACAAGGTAACCTAGTTTAGCCTTTGATGTGTTTTATTCATCCTCATTTTGTATATTTAGTTCTTGGAACTGTCGATCAACTCCCTGGAAACAACCCTGTCCAGTATGGACCAGAAGATGCCACCATCCATGCTGCCACATCGGTACCTGCTATTCTGTCTCCAGCCTACGTATACACAGGGTCCACCCCGACCGCTACTGGAAGTATAGTCACAGCTGCTTCAGGTGTCTCGGCTGCGGCTGCCACCACTGCCGCCGCCTCTGCTACATCCGCTGCCACTTCGACTGCTGCCGCTGTATCTGCTACCTCCTCAGTCTCAAGCAGTGTCACGGACTCTGAAGCTTCATCCTCCGACTCTGCCGCCTCTGCTACATCCGCTGCGACTACGACTGCTATCGCTGAATCTGCCACCTCCTCCGCCTTAAGCAGTGACGTTGCCTCCGTAACTTCATCATCCGACTCTGTTACCGCAGACAGTGCAACTACCAGTGGCAATGAGGAATTGGTAGCCCCTACATCGGCCTCTTCATCCTCGGTGTCGGCGTCAACTTCGGACTCTGTCGCTTCTGCCACTATTTCATCATCATCATCAGCCACTGCTTCTGCCTCTGCCGTCTCATCATCCGGTTCTGGGTCCAACTCATCGTCTTCAGGTGATGATGATGACGACGACGACGATTATGAGTACTGCGAGAGACACACGAAGAGTAAACATCACAGTCGTTCCATCTCCAACGCCCGCCGTCACCACGATGCTCATAGGCGTCTCACGTCCAGCGATTTCTAAAAAAAAAACACTCTTTCCGATAACCGAATACGCTCTTTTTCCTCATCTATCGATCATTTTTATATTCCTTGGTGACTCGATGTCACGCATCTGCATCTCTTATATCATCATCATACCCTCTTCACTGTCTTTGCACACGAACCCGCCAGCGGTGTCGATCTGCTCGACTTCTACTTATGCAGCCATGGTCTGCAGCCAGCCCACAAACTCATAGTAGCTTGTTCTAGTCCTGGCCTAGTATCCTCCATTATCTATTTTGCTGAAGACCTCACTCAGACCTTCATTCCGACTTATATTGCGACTCGACTTCAGGCAGGTACAGGGTAGTGCAAGAACCGGAGGTTTTGTGGGTTCTGCGACACATTGATTCCATAAATCTGCTCTTTGTATAATTTGCTTCATTCTTTGTGGATTGCTGTTAGCTGTAGATATGGATTTACAAATCAATATTCTCCTCGTCCTCGGGTTTCATTGTGTTATGATCATGATGTACACACTAAAGACTTGAAGAAGGTAAGATACATAGAGTGTTTGCTCGCGTAACGTCTGCAACGAAGTCGATCTTCCGGCCAGGCTGACCAAATCTCACTAGTGTCTCTAGGTTATTTCCCGTATCGGTATTATTGTAATACACCATATGTGTAGCCTTCCGTGGGCGTTTCGGAAAGCTCAATCTGAGGTTAACCAATGTACAATGAAGTCCTGGACATACGGAAATGAGAAGCCACGAATGCCCTGCCTGCTGACTCAGTGACTGACATTTTGCTACTCCCGTTGAGTGACTCCAAGGGCTTCATCAAATATGTTCTGAACACCGATGGATCAGCGAGAGACGATCAGAACATATCAGAACAAATCAAAACACTATCAGAACTCGAGCGAAATTGCAAAAAACTTGGACCTTTTAAGAAGTGAAACTCCGACGAAGGAACAAGGAGGACCAAACCAAATTTGATCGGAACAAATTCGTTGCGGAGCAAAAGCTGTGAGCGTTTTTACGATCCACGCCTTCCTAATATGTACGCCTCTCTTGGCTACTAAATATACCAGAGTTCCTCAATTTCAAGCGAGCAATCAAGTACATTTTCCTCGTTGACGAAGCTGTTGTGATACATACAAATGTTTGAGATTTTAAAAAATGGGTATCCGCAATGTTTTGTGATTTTAATGGAAGAAAACGGGACTATGAATGCTTCTCTAGCTCTGGAGAGGGCTTGGGGTGCTTTGTACGAGGTTTAATCTTGTTCCGTTTCAAGGACAAAGGTCGATCTTTGCCTCGAAGTCTGACATAAACCCCACAGGCATTGCAGAGCTGAGCGCCAGTTTTACTTCTGCGCCACACCGAGGTATGGTGAGTATGACAATGAGAACACTCAGGTCCCGTTCCATCATGCTCTGACGAACTTTCTGATTCATCGTCACCATCAGCGTCGATAAGTTCTTGCGGTCGGAGCTTATTCCGCTGCTGTAAGTAGAGGCCGCACGCGTTACAGAGTGTTCGAAGGGTTGCAGGCTCTCGTCGCCACAGCGGTGTAGAGGTAGCGTGACAGTGAGCGCATACCTTGGCGGTGCCAGTGGCGCTAGGCCTTCGACCGAGTTTAGGAGTGGTAATAGGAGTAGTATGTATCGGTGAAGGCGACGGGGAAGGTGAAGATATTGTAGACAAGGGGGAGCATGAGCTGACAGAGACGTGATTGTGGTGTATAATAGGTTTAGTTTCTTCGAATGAATCGATACCGGGCATTGACATGTTTCTCCACGATTGGTCAGGAACACCTGTGTTCGACCACTGAGATGAGAGCTGAGGAGGAGACCATAAATTCACGTTTGTATTGTAGATCGAATGTTGGCGCAAATCTGTGCTTCGCAGAGAGGCATCGTAGGAATTGACATTACGAGGAAAGGAAGCCTCTACACCAGGGCCTGAATCATTGGACCAAGAGCGCGACGGTTTCTGGGATGATCCGTAAGATAAAGAACCACTGTACGAGGGGTACGACGAAGAGGATGAAGCTAATCGTTCCACGTCAATGATTAGAAAGCCAGATAAGAACACGATACGCACTGTAATTCCAGTATTCTGAAGATGAACTAGAAGCGGAAGAGTAACTTCGTCCTGGATAACTTTGAGTAGTAAAAGCAAATTGGCCTTCATCGAACGCGAACAATGTATCCTGACGCGTGTTTCCGTGCATGGAGCTGGATCTAAAGCGAGTTGGTCAAGATGAGAAGCTACAGAAAGGCGAAAATAATGTACTGATTCTTCGAAGGCGCGAAGACACTGATGGAATTTGGTAGCAGAACTTTTCTGAGCTCCATCCTTTTAAATGAAAAGAAAGGAAAAGGTGTTTATTCGTCCCTAGATAGATCTGAGACGAATTCAAGGTCCTATACGAAATTTCTTGACATTTGGTTGTCAGCGAAAAACAAAAAAGTACTAATTTCGCTAACTACCGTGACAGTGACGCGTTTCATTTTTTTCGAATTCCCTTTTTTGGTGCTTCACCCGACGCTACCGGGATCCAGGTTCTGCAGGCTATGCTTGATTGGATGATGGAATTTAGCTGGTTGATTGGGCAAATCATCTTCGAAGAGCGCCGAAGTCAAATTCCATCTTACTCAGCTGCACACTGCACAAACACTTGAAAGATTCAATGTTGAATGAACGGTTATTTAGTTGTTACGGTTGTTGCGCAGTGTTTCGCATAACCTGCGGAATGATTTTTGGGATCCAATACCAGGCAATACCTCAAGGTCAAGCTGGTTCCTCGGGCGGCGGCCCCTATCATGATTACCGGATATTTCTCGAGAAAGTAGAACTAGAAAAATAAGATCTGTAGGATTTCCACAAGGGCGACCATCCTGACCCAATTACTGCAAACACCTCTGTCACGGCTGTAGAAAATATAGATACTCCGGCAGAGTATTTTGTTGCTCGTTCAACGACGTCCAAGTTCCATCCGCAAGATAGATGGAACCGGTAAGCGAATGGGCCACCATCATGATAAATGATTCTAACTATTGGGCCATATGGAACCCAGTGAGCACACGGACTATATCAACTTGCGAGCTAAATAACGCAGACTGCAAGCGGCTGAAGGTCATCTGAGGGCGGAAAAAACATACTTACAAGAGAATGCTACAAAATCTTCTCTGCCGCAATCGACGAGAGACCACACTATTTGGGCAAATTTGCCTCATGCGTTCAACCTCGTTTACCGTTCGCAAGTAGATTACGATAACACCACACTTGGTTCATCAAATACTATATTGTGGCCTACAGTGGCCTCGAAAAGCACAGCGGCCAGCCCGGGGGGTCAAAAAAGAGTTGAATACATGCAAAATTCGTTTGGATTTGAACTCAAGTCGATGGCTCATGATCTGGGGAAAGCGGGGGATACGCGGTACCCCAGAGGTACCCCACATGTTTCTTAGTTATTGGATACACAGCCTTGCATAATTATTGGTTCGAAGCTTACCTTTCTGGATGTTGGTGTGGTCGAGAAACGGCGAGTCAATAGTGGTACGGCGACATCCGAGAACTAGTAGGACATTCTAGTATGTTACGAACAGATTTTACAAAAATAGCAGCAAAAAGTCAGGGTACATTCTGGTTCAGAAGATGGTCGGCCATTGCAACTGAGCATTTCCCCATCCCTAAATTTTGTGGTGTTGAACAATGAATTCCATGGTCGAAAGATGAGTCTTACCTATGTCACACATAGCAAGTCGTTTCTCACACTTACTCTCCGGTGAACATATTTGCGGAATTGTATGAATTAGTCCTGACTTTCAAGAGCTCTTCCGTGATTAATTTTTTTCGATGATCAGCTTGACTATTCAGCGTGTCTTGCTTCTTTGTGTTCCCTTTGCTGTCTTCTCCTGATCCTCTGAGGGAACTTCAATATGCGTGCGGAATTCAACAAGTACTAGTCGAGATTGAATTTAGCTATGATAGCCTATGATTGGAAGATCGTCGCTCCTCGAATTGAGATTGGTACCAGTCCCACTTTTGAGTCACGAAACATCGTCTCTCGTATGTAGTACAAAAATAAGTACACACGACGTGAAATTCTTTTGGATGTGGTGATAGGAAGTGATATTTCAAACTGCATTTGGTTAGCTCAATTTTTCACTTATCATTCTCTCGTTCGAACTTCGAGCTCTGTTTGATCAGTGTAGATATGCAGGAACCTGCGTGACGCCCATTTTGGGAAAATTCGAGGAAAAAATATCGCTTTCAAATTCGCAAAAAAAAAATAACGTGGTGATTTCGTAGACAGTTCCGACGGATAATATTCACCGTTCACAGGAAAAAAGTCCCTGTAAACTTGTGCATGGTTGATCGCAGCCTGATCGCAGAGAGATCGCATGTCCTCAATGTCCTTTCGGCAGCTTTTCGTGTCCTTCTGACATCCACCTACAGCTCTTGCCTTCCCTCACAGCTCACTGTGCTTCCTTCTTATGTAGTAGACAACTGCACACCCTTTCAGCTTTTAACAGCAGTATAGACCGGAGGCAGATAGGTCTTGTCTGAGTACCTGCAAGCACGGCGTGTCGCTTGGGCGGAAACGGCACGGAAGTATGTACAGGGTCGGTAGAAAGGCATGTCACTGGTCAGACGAGAAGACAAGTAGAGTATGTAAGAGTATGTAACAACTTAAAACAACGGAAGATATGTATGTTACAATAGATTACAATGTACGCGCACTGGTCCAACAGGATCCCTGGAAAGGAAGGATGCTTCCAAGTTCCAAGGCTTTCCAAGAGCGGTTTCCGAATCATACCGATTCATACGAGGTCATATCAGGGTCATAAACTGTACAAAATATCGGGGATCCTCGACCTAAATTGGACGGTCTCAAGGCACTATGTTAATCAATGATGAAAAACTTTGTGGGCGCGGGAAAGAAGGGAGTATTTGATTCTGGTAGGAAACCAACGGACAAGGGATGAAAGAGACCTTTGGGGACGAGCCGCGTTCCTCATTCGTTCACCTAATTAGCTTTGAATCAGTTCAAACTCTGTCACAAAGTCAATACAATACGCATTACCTGGGGGAATATACACTGTAGCTGATAAACTTGAGGAGGAGGCAGAAGATGTTTCTATACCGTCGATTATCTGCTCGAGCTCAGCATCATACAAGTCATGAAAGTTTGTGGGCTCGTCAACAATGGATTGTTCAGATAGTTCAGAGGTAGAGGATCCAGCTAGTGCAGAAGCCGTCCGAGGATCATATGGAGGAAGGGAGGTAACGCGTAGTTGCTCTGCGCTCACAATCGCAACTGGAGATGTCGGGAAGTCAGATATGCCCAACCTGATTGACCAGGAACTTAGGTTAATCTAGGGTATCGTATCAGAGGCAATTTGTACGCACGGCGACGGTGGTGGGCCTATTTTCAGGGGAGTGATGTTTTGCCTCCAATTGCACACATACGAACGCCTCCTCCGCGGTGATTCCAACGTATTTCCACGAGCATCTTCCTGTTTCGGCATAGTGCTGCAAATAGATAAGTCGTTAGACTGCAAGATAAGGTGAGCCCAAAGGTGTACCTTCCCAGCTTCAAGCAGAATTCGGTGTATGATTGTTGTTCTACTATTGTACAGTGGTCCATAGAGGAACTGGTCGTTTTTGAATTTGTTGTATCACAGCTCGTGGGAGGACCGTTCTTCAGATATGTATATGAGGATGTACCAGCATCAACGGAGTACGAAAAAGAATGAGAGTTCAGAACGTTCATGATGAGGATGTTCTCAAAAGATCTAGGAAAGAAACGAAAGGAAATGGCAAGGTACAGCCAAAATCGCGCGAGCAAGTTGGAGAAACACGGAAAGCCCATTGTCCTCTTATATGATGAGCGCTAAGGTTATTTTGAGTTTGGTGTACCATTGTGGGTCCGAAAAAGAACAAAGAGGTTCATTCAACGTAGAACAAAAGAAAAGTGTACAAGCATGTCTATATTTGGCCAACTCGGCAATGGGCGAAAGAGCGGGATCCCACGACAAGTTATCCCGCCAACCCGCCTTACATGACTGCGTTCTTTTGACGGGTCTGGAGCTGTCTGGAGAGAAAGCCAATGCACTCCATTTAATCCCTAGTCGGGTGTTGTCTTATCTTGTCTAATGTTTCCTTCATGAACACAAGATGGTCTATTGCTATAGAGCGCTCAGACACGTTTCTTTATAACTTGTTATTCAAGGTCGTGAATCTGGGATACATAGGAGATACAATTGATCACGGAGATATGAAAATAGATAGAAGTTGTGAATGTAGTGTACATCCACATCAGAAACCTTGAGCTTCTAAAGACGCCATCCTGCGCTCACATCTTGGTTGAGGATCATCTGAATCTTCGGACCCTCGTCTAAACGGCCACATAGGAAGATAGCACATTTCCTGAAAGTCGGACAAGCCCATTAGACAGACACGATGCATGATGGTACGTTGAAAACACCTACCTCGAATCCACACGCAGGTCGACATTTTAACCAGACGCTCCAATCTAACCACTTCATAAGCCCGAAGATACGCTCCTTCCAGGAGTTTAATAACGGTGCGAGGTCTACGTTGCCGTCATTCTCTGTTGCCGAAGACTTATAGAAATCTGGTTCCAGCCCAGACATTATCCCGTCAACCCACATCCCTGTTACAACTCGGCATATCTCCCTGGTTGTCTTTTGAACGCCATCCAGAATCAGATTCTCCGAAGCGGTGAGACGCGAATGAAGAGAAGACGTAGTGATATAGTTCGTGTAAGTCGTTGCGCAGAGTTCGTACATAGGCGATACCCAATTAGTGGAAGTGGAATTCTGAGGTGGTTTGATTGTAAAAAGCATATATGGTTGCAGCATCGCAGTAAGTTGGACTTGAATGTTTTCTGCGAGAACCTTGTTCTCCGCAGCTGAATTAGCAGGATTCGTTGAGTTCAAGATATACTGAACCATCTCTAGACGCTCTGAGTAGCGTTTTACGATCAAGCGAATGAGAGTAGCCCAGTCGATACCACTCCCAGCTTCGGATACCGCAATCAGCTCCTCGACCTTTCGCACAACAGTGTGGATATCTTCCGGAGAAATGCCCAACAAACGATGTCTGATTCGCTCCTTACCGTATCGCTCAGCAACAAGACTGGGAACAAGGTCAGTGTCGTAGAAGGAGACCAGACGGGTAAGGTCAAGTTGAATACGGGTTTCGCCCGGATAGTATCTGTGCCAAGAGCCGGAATTGGTGCTTTCTGAGAAGCCGATATTAGGGAAAGCGGAGGAATTGACGTGGGCTTTTCGGGTGTAGGAACTTTCATGATGAGGATGGATTTCTGGAGGAGGCAATAGTTCTTCCAAATGGCGGCCAGGACCACCGGGACCACCACCAGGGCCACCGGGACCCCTACCAGGACCTCCTGGTCCAGGGCCGCCTCTAGATCGAGAACGAAGATTGATTGCTTCCACCAAAACACCTTGAGTGAAATCGCAGAGCATAATTTCACTGTGAGCAGGCAAGTAACGAGTAAGATTGGTGATCGCCGTGGAAAACTAAACTTACAAGTCCATTTCCATCCTGGATTAGTAGGTCAATCAGTTCAGACTTGGTCTACATCCTTGTTATCAGCAAATACGACATACCTGACGAACCCATCGACATCAAGATCCTTCGTCCACTCACACAAATTGTTGATTCTCTCCCGCTCCCCACGATACTTTTCCGGTACAACCTTGCCATACGCTAGAATGTCCTGGGAGTCCATAACCCCGTCCGGCATCTTTGCCGCAGCACTCCCGTCCAGGTAGAGTACTTTCAGAGGACGTATAGCCGTAACCATAAGTTGCCAACATCCAGAGTCTGCTGTTTGCCCACGACAAAACATATACGAATGTTCGGGGTCTGTGGCGAGCCATTCAGGATTAGTCGGGGTGTTAGCGTCTCCACGGCCATGATAAAGCACTGTACCCGAAGGTACTACTCCTGGAACAATGCTATGACCTGGGTCGTACAAACAGGTGAGCGTCGGTCCGAAATATAAATGAAAGACCACACACCATTTCGATAACGTGTATTTGGCCAGTGCTGCATAAGCGAATTCACAGTCTCGAAAACCAGGTGCCCGGTAACATTTTCGCCTGGTGCGATGCTAATATCCCAAGTATCACCATCGTTTCCGAGATTGAAAGTGGTAGAAAGCTCGCTGTGTGGGACCTTCAAAGGAATCTGAGCCGCCTCTAGTAAGGTAAAAGCGAGAAAAAGCCCCAGGAATCGCTTCATGGTGGCTATCAGCATACGAAGGAGATGGGAGGAGCCTTATCATTGTTATTGCTGTTTTCACAAAAGTTGGCGCCTCGGTCACACGCTTTGCTTTTTGGCTTCAAAATGATACCGAACGAAAACATTGATATCTCACTCGTTCCTCGACCGATTACTGTAAAATTTAGTGCGTTGACAAGCTGTAGTATGCGCTCAGAGCGCCCCATGGTTATTTCTTCCAAAATATATAATTTTACAAATCTCAGCTATCAAATGGTGTCAAATGAAAACACAGATATCTTGCTCAATCCTCCACCAATGACTGTAATTTTTAGTGCGTTGACAAGCTGTAAGGTATCCTCAGAGCGCCCCATAGTCCTATCTTGAATGGTGTGACCCAGGCAGTAGAAGTTGAGGAATGTCACATATGGCCGGAAAATGACCCTGAACTATCAGGCGACTCATTCCTTGCTGTTTCTCTTTTCATTGTCTCAATGGGCAATAAGAAGAATGCTAAAAGAAGGCAGTCTGGAAGCCGCAAGAACAAAAAATCAACTCAGGAAATAGAAGAGGATCAACTGAGCAGTGATGAATCACTCACTCCCGATGCTCCCCTTCGACCACCTCGCCCCACTCCAAAACCTTACCACAGAGGCAGACCAGCTTACGATGCATGTCACAGCAATTTAGGTGCTGAGATTGATGATACCGCTGCCGCTAGACTGCTAATGTCTTTTTCCAGAGTCTCTCCATCCGAAAGTCAGGCAACACCAGCACGTACTCATCTGTATGGTGTCCGTCTATCAAATGAGCTTTCATCCACAAAGACAAGTTGCGCAGCCTGATATAAGTGTGAATATGTTAATTTGAACTGTGCTCGTTTGAATTCATCTTGTTCAATTGCAACACGAGTAATCTGTGATATACGGATAAATGACGAGAATGTCAATCGAGGACAAGATATCGTACCTTCTTGAGCTTGTATCCAGTTTGCCTAAGTGTCCTCCATATTGTTGTAATGCTAACTTGTGTACCTCGTCGCTCCTCTAACTGTTGCTTCAATTCATCAAGGTACATGTCCGGTGTGTGTGCAAGTAACCCGTGAATAAGCTGGTCCTTCCATTAGTATTGCTTCTATACACAAGCAAAAGAACAACATACCTTCATATCCTCGATGCTAATCTTCCGTTTTCTCCCTCGAAGGTCAGTGGTAAGAAGTAGAGTGCCTTGGATGCGTTTCCGGTGTTGAGACAGGATGCGTTGCAGTGTCCGACGTTTGCATGCTGATTTTGTAACAATCTCATCAAGAGACACACAATTGCGACGAAGGTTGATGATTGTGTGGCGAAGGTCTTTAGATAGAGGCTTTCCGCGAGTCATACTGCAGTGAGATGGGGTGTAACGTCAAGAAGGCAGCGCAAAGGATAGGACAAGCAGTAACAAACAGCTTCAAATTGATTTCGCTCTACCACATACTACAACTATGGGGCGTTCTAAGGATGCCTTACAGCTTGTCAAGGCACTAAAAATTACAGTCATTGGTGGAAAATTGAGCAAGATATCTTTGTTTTCATTTGGCACCATTTGATAGCTGAGATTTGTAAAATTATATATTTTGGAAGAAATAACCATGGGGCGCTCTGAGCGCATACTACAGCTTGTCAACGCACTAAATTTTACAGTAATCGGTCGAGGAACGAGTGAGATATCAATGTTTTCGTTCGATATCATTTTGAAACCAAAAAGTAAAGCGTGTGACCGAGGCGCCAACTTTTGTGAAAACAGCAATAATTGAATTTCCGCAGTCACCGTCCGGGTACTCCGCAGTGAACAGATAATCATGTTATTGTGTAGTTGCTATGACCGACAAAGTAGAGAAAGGCAGCAAGCAGCAAAGATGAAAATTGTTCGATACAAATGTGAAGATGTAAACGCCAACTGGCGCCCAAGCTCAAGGGTAACTGTAGTCTGTAATGTAAACCGTCGTCAAAACTCTTGATTTTTCGGAAGATCAGGTTTTTATAAGACCAATTGAATTTGGATGTGGTTATATATACATACATACTAATTAAGCGCCTAAACCAAAACCAGGTTGAGGAGGAACTTGAAGATATGGAAGGATACGGATGCCAAAACGACAAACGCAGAAATGATCAAAAACGTTGCGGGAATTAAACACGAATTAAGTTCTCATCACAACCACCGTCATATAGGATCAATTTACATCCAGGGTACTTGGTAAAGACTATACTTCAAAGAACGGAAAATTAACTTGAACGTTGTTCGTCGGACACAAGTGATACTTTGAGTGGCATTGACGCCGCCTTACCGTCAGCAAATGACTGCAGTGTCGGCAACATGTATTGCTCAATCTTGACCCCGGTATCCGCCAGCTCAAAAGAGCGCACAAGGACGGCGATTATTATCTTCAGCTCCGAGACCGCTAAGGGAGAAAGAAAAAAACAGAACAAATATTCCGTGAACAAAGACAGAACGTAATGTCATAGAGAAAATCTGATAACTAACCAAGCCGATACCCAATACAGCTTCTCGGCCCGTCACTGAACGTTGATATCCCAGCCCATGGTCCACGAGGGAGCTTGTCGGTAGGGGGTACACCTCCTGGCTCAATCCATCGTTCAGGTATGAAATGTTGTGCGTCTTGGCCCCAGATTTGCGTACTGACGTTGAGTGCCGTTATGGGGATGTGGAACACCTGGCGAAGATTATATATACCGTTTTTCTCGAATGAAAAGCCTAAAAGACAAACCTGGCCAGCTTTGATAGGCAACGAGGTGATGATATTCCCGTTTTTTGTTTCAATAGGTCTACTGAGAGGTATAACATCATCTTGAAGGGCTACACGCTCAGTGACTGGCAATGCAGGATACAAACGGAGTCTGGATATGATATTATATAGGGTACATATAATAAGGCAGTTGAGGGACGCACCCTTCTTTCACCACAGAATCAAGATACTCTAGTTGCTGCACGCGATCATAATCAAGGTTACCTGCGGCTTGTACTTCCTGGCGCAATTTGCGTTGAACGGTAGGATTACGTGCCAATTCAAGCAATGTGAATATCAGCGAAGCACCGCTAGTCTCATGTCCGACCATCATAAACGTCGTAATCTGGAAAGGGAGATAAGTGGTTTTTTTTTCAAGTGAGAAACGGGGCACACATTATCAAGGAGTTTAGTATCAGATAGGCGTAAATCGGACTTTCCTTTCTTCTGGTTATCTTCGACTAGCAGAGACAATATGTCCGTACCACGAGCATTCGAAGTGAAGTGGTGATGATCTTCCTGGAGAAGCTTGCCTGCGAGTCTATCCACAATTCGTTTCGACACGCTCTCGCCTGGAATGACTGGGATTGGCAAACTAGTGATCCACGGAAAAAGGTTGATTAACCTGGGTGCTAGAAAACCTCCGAACGTGTGAGCCATAAGAATATCTTCATGCCATGCAGAGGTGATTTCTTTGGCTTCCTTGCTCTCTCCGCCGCCGAAATCGTGACCGAAAGCGACTCGCCCTATGATATCCAGACTTGAAAAGCATATCAATTGCATAAACGAGACTCTCAATCACAAAGGAATCACTTACGTGCAGGCAGAAACTAATGGAACCATATCGACTACAGTATTTTGTTCATTGATACTACCACGTAACTTATGGCTCATCTAAAATCAGAAGTCAAAAAAGGGAAAACGTCAATAGATATGTAATAAGGAGCTGACCTTGTCTGCACAGGCAAATATGTCGTCGGACATTGATTTAACAGCACTGGATCTAGACCAACATAAGCAAAATGTCTCAAAGTGAAATCCAAACGCCGTACGTGAAGGCGGGAGCTAAGAGTCTTCGTTGATGTCTATGCTCTTCACCTTCAGCACATACAATCCCGTTTCCAATGAGTCTTTCAATAATTGGTAGGAACGCTGGGGCTTTGACTAAATGCGACAATCAATCAGTTGATTATTGATTATCATGACACCTGAAATCAGAAAAAATGTCCTCACCGTAGTTGTAGGCATTCTGGAAGATGTGCTGAACGGCGGAAGTATCGTTCACAATAAGCTATTGAAGTATATTGTTAGTAAGATGCAATTATTTAAGAGCGGTAGCAAATTCATACGCACGATATCAGGTTGGAAAAAAGCTGCTTTGACACGATACACAGAGCCCACCAAAGTCGACCACTTGACGTACATTTCGCAAGCTTCATGACGGGAAACCTCGAGCTCATGTCCCCATATCCAGCTGTGTTTCATGGGCTAACGAGTAGTAATAATAATATGAAGCAAATTGTAATGGGTGATTTGAAGATAACCAACTCACGGCAATTGGAAGGTTTCCTATATCCCATCGACGACACTGCAGTCTTGTCCATGCGATACGCAACGTCCAAATAACAAAGAAGAAGGGGAGAACTTGGTAGATGTTCGTCATGGTCAACCCCAGCATTTTTCGGAGAGAGAAAGAATGAAACAGGGCAGGGCCTATCTCGCATCGCCAGGATTTGAACACGTAAAATCTTTTCGAGAATACAGTTCGTGCGGATCGCCCACAAACTCGGAACAATGAACGTCGAGCATCATTTTGATATAGTATTGATGAGCTGAGATATTGACGCGTCAACTTGAAGGGAGTTCCAAGGGATTCCGTACAAATATGTAGATACATACATACATACTTGAATTCAAACAAGCGATTGATTGATGCCATTCTCGTGGCATGCCACATATCTCTTTCTATTCATTTATCCTTCTTCCACCACCCAGCATGGAAAGCAAAGACAGGCCAGACTACGACTGGAAGTTTGAATTCTCATCTATTCTCATGGACTTCATCACGATCCATCCCAATTAAATTCATTGCGAATCAAGGGTCTCAAGAACGTCTCAAGAAGTTGTAATTAATCAGCTCTCAAAAAGTCTTGCATATCGCTGATCCTTCGTGACTTACACCGTCCGAGCTTCCCCCTTTTTCCACTATGGAATTACTATACTCTTACTAGTAGTGCAACTTAGTACTCCATTCTTCTAGTCTTGCATAACCAGACTGATGACCTGACCACTGACTATATGTAGTATAGGTCTGCCAGGTTTATTCCCGTGAATCCTACAGGTTAAACTCCCGAGGCTTCTTAACTAGGGAGGTTCAGCAGAATAATAAAAGGAGCATATTTCCTTTGACCCAAGTCTAGTACTACATAATAAACTTTACTCAAGTTCATCCACATAATATGTTACGCTTAATCTTTGTGGCATTTTTAAACCTTTGCATTGTGCTTATTTGCCATATATAACAACCTCACTGACTCACTATTGATTTTATCATTGCAAGCCTGAGGGGTCCGTATAATCAACCTATAATTATCATGTTTGCCTTTATTCATCAACTTCCATCCCATGAAGGAGGAACGGCTGGAAATGTTCTTGCAAATAGGCTTACTGAGAATTGGGAGTTTTTTGTGCTAATGATCAAGTCCCGTGGAACCCAAGTCCCAGCCTATGTTGTTGCTAAAAAAAACAGCTCTGATCAAATCTTATTGGGTATAGGTGCAGCATATCAGTGGACACATGTATCCAATCAAGAACATTTACTGTACATGGTTGTATGAATTGAACAAATTCAACATTAATGCTCATTAGAAACTAGAGATAGCTTGAGCGGTAGTGAGGCCGCCCTTCCATCAGAAAAAGCCTGTAAAGTTGTCGGCCTCGAATATTCTTCAATCCTAGCCCCACTGTCTCGAAGCTCAAAGAAGCGTACAACAACAGCAACTATTATCTTGAGCTCTAGAACCGCTAAGGAAATATGAATGCAAAGGCACATTGTCATGGATCTAATTCATACTGACCAAGTCGATAACCAATACAACTCCTTGGACCATCGCAAAAGGTTGATATTCCAGTCCAGGGTCCACGAGGAAGTTTGTCAATGGGAGGTATACCTCCCGATTTAATCCATCGTTCAGGTATGAATTGAGCCGCATTTTGACCCCAAATTTCCGGGCTGACATTCAGTGAAGTGAAAGGAATGTGAAATACCTGACAAATACTCAATGCAGCTCCTGAAGAAGTTAAATGTAAGAAGAAACAAACCTGGCCTGCTTTGATAGACAGTGAAGAGATTTCATCACCATTTTGTGTTTTGGCAGGGTTGCTCAGAGGTATAACGTCGTCTTGTAGGGCGACACGTTCTGTAAGTGAAGCTGCAGGATGCAAGCGAAGTCTGGCAAACAGTACATGTCATAGTGTCATCTTATCATTGATAGGGTAGAACAACAACTCAACATACCCTTCTTTTACCACGGCGTCAAGATATTCTAGTTGTTGAACACGGTCGTAATTAAGATGCCCCATAGTCTGCACCTCCCGACGGAGATTCTCCTGGATCGTAGGGTTTCGGGCAAGTTCAAGTAAGGTAAAGACGAGTGTCGCCGCGCTAGTTTCATGTCCGACCATCATCAAAGTGGTAACCTATGAAAGAGAACCAGGTAAGCAATATTGCACCGTCACGAATTATAAGTTCCTTGCACACATTGTCGAGAAGTTCCATATCAGTCAGGCCGACTTCCGATTTCCCTTTCTTTTGATTATCCTTTATGAGCAGAGATAGTATATCTGTCCTATGAGCATTTGAAATAACATGGCTGTCCTGCAGAAGCACCCCCGCGAGTCTGCCAACAATGCGCTTGGATACGCTCTCCCCAGCGATGATGGGCAATTTAGCAATCCACGGAAAAAGGTTAATCAATCTGAGGGCTATGAATCCTCTGAATGTATCACTCTTGAGCACATCTTCGTGCCAGGCGGAGGCAATTTCTCTGGCTTCCTTGCTCTCACCTCCACCAAAATCATGCCCAAAGGCGACCCGCCCGATGATATCCAGACTAGAATAATAGATCAAATTGCTTGAGAAACTACCCAGGGATAACCACAGAAAGTGCTTACGTGCAGGCAGTTACAAATGGAACTATGTTGACGATGGTATCTGTTGAATTACTGCTGGTAATCACAGTGCGTAGTTTTTGGCTCATCTAGCATCAACAATCGGCACGGTGTTCATTATATGTGATTTTATGACAAAGGGCTGACCCTATCTACGCAAGCAAATATGTCGTCAGACATCGCCTTGACAGCGTTGGACCTAGCCAAAAGTAAGCCTACTATGGCATTGAAAGATAGGGAGCACATACGTGAAGGCTGGAGCCAAGAGTCTGCGTTGGTGTTTATGCTCTTCACCTTCGGCATATACAATCCCTTTCCCGAGAATTCGTTTCACGATTGGGCGGTATGCCGGGGATTTCACTACATCGGAGTACAGCCATATGCATGATTAGGATAAAGAATAGCAACGGCAGCACTCGAAGCCAAAAAATGTTAGAGAAATGAAGACCGACCATAGCTGTAGGCGTTTTGAAAGATGTACTGGACGGCGATGATATCATTCACGACAACCTAAGGTGATGAAGATAATCAGGCGACACACTAAGAGACGAAGCAATATACATAGTACATACGATGTCAGGTTGGAAAAATGCCGCTCTCAGGCGATATATAGGGCCTACAGAGGCAGCCCACCTAATGTACATTTCGCAAGCTTTGTGTTGGAAAATTTCAAGTTCATGGCCCCATATCCAGCTTCGTTTCGTAGGCTGTATCCACCGTCACATTCTAGGCATGAAGTAAATGTGAAGAGACCACTTACAACAATTAAGAGCTTCTGTATATCCCGCTGCTGGTATTTTAGTCTTCCCCATAGAAAGCGGAAGGTCCAAAAAACGAAGAGGGACAGGAGAGCCTGGATGTTTGCCGAGTGCAACATCGACGTTCCCATTGAAGAAAGGTACAGACGATTTGAGAACTTTGCAGTTTAAGCTCTTTAAGCTGTCCCTCGTGACAGGAAGTGGAGTCTGCCAATAATGGGAAAGGATATATTACCACGTACATACACATGCAATTGTCCCGGTACTTGGTATTTGCCTTTCATAATTCTACCCAGTAGTAGACCAAATCGGAAAGCCCATCAAGACCTTGTAATAAGGGCCTTGCGGGGCATGGTGCAGATGGGGAAGAGAGTATCCGGAGTCGGAGCAACTTGAATCGACGGGATGCACGTGGCCCGGGAGTTACTATTACGTTTATGTAGGTCCTTAACATTACCGGCTCTCAAGTGTTTGAACGCGGTGTCTTTCCGACTCTCTCGCTCATACTCGACTCGTACGCGGAACACTACAATGTAAGTCCCGAGTCAGGAATGATATCGCATAGCCTGATTCGTTCCTCCTATAGTACACAAGCTATCTTTACTTCTGGACAACCCGTAGATTTTCAGGAAAAAAATGCCCCCCAAACGAACAAAACAGGCGAAAGGCAAAAGAATCCAAAGAACACCGAAAATTTGTCACATAAATCGTCTTTCAAACGATCTACTCCTCGAAATTTTACGTCATTTCTGTGATTCACGTACCGCGGAAAGGTTCAAACGAACCTGCAAATATCCAGACTTCGACGCCAACTTCCTTGCTGTCAGTTTTGTGAACAAGCGCTGGCGCTCGATAATTCTTGCTACACCCTCTCTGTGGGGTAAAATCTACGTGGCATTAGATTCTATATCACCAGAGAAGACACCACCATTCATTAATTCTCTGGTTAATCTCTATCTAGAGCGCTCCAAGGGAGCTGCGCTTGATATCTGTGTGCTATACTCTGATTACGGAGTCGAAGATGAAGATTATAACTCAGAACAGGAAGGAGAGGAAGGTGGTAATGCGGGGCTTTTGTTTCCAGTTCTCCCTAAACTTTTCCAGCATGCATTCCGGTGGCGTAGTGCTGTTCTACGGCTTCCCCAGTCGAGCGTCTTGGATAGCATGCGCGTTCCTAGCGATTTTCCAGTCCTTCAAAAGCTAGATATTAAGTGCGTACCGGCACCGGACATGGACGCGGGAACCACTTCGTTTCCAGGCTTTCTGTCGCCTCTATTAAGGAAACTTTCTGTAACCAAGTTTGCCTTTGAAGGCGACTTCGGTTCTACTTGCCTGGATGACATTTCCCTCACCTGGGTAACACCAGCAACCGCTGTGGATTTTTTCGAAAACGCATCATCCAAATGTACTGCTAATATCCATACGCTGTTCTCGCCGTATAGGTATTTTGGTTCCTCCCATGTTACGTCGAAGTTGATGGCCTTAACGGTCACTGCAACACGCGAGGAAAACATGGCTCCCGACCCACTAGGGAACTTACTTGATTGCCTCACGCTCCCAAACGTAGAAAAACTTACATTTGTCGATGAGAGGGACAACTCGTACAACACCTTGTCCCAATCTTGGTTGTTCCCAACGAAGTCCCTGCTATCCCTATTCGACCGATCCCTGTTGACTACCACAAATCTGACTTGCATTTCGCTGGCCGTTACATCTCCGATTCTGATCTTATGAAGATCCTGGACAGGCTCCCTGCTTTAAAGCATCTCGTCTTTAAGGAAGCCTCGCCGAAGATAGATGAATCCAATCCTTTGACGGAACATTTCTTCCAGAGTTTCGTGGCCCGCTACAATCCAGTGAAAGACCATTCAAATGACGTCGGCATCAGTGCTCCATTTCTCCCCGATCTCACACACATCGAACTCGGGTTCAACTCCAAATCTTTTCCCTCAATAGCATTGGCCGAATTCATCAAGTCTCGTCTACCGCCTTTGTCAGAGGATGTCGGGCAATCGGATCCGCTGCCACAGAATGGCATATCTAACTGGAACATAGTCAGCGTTCAAATTTATGAATTGATGCAGGACGCTCCGCAGCTCGCCGATGCCTTGAAGCAGAGTCTATCCAAATATCGCTCTGGTAAGGCAGTAATCGAAATTACTGCTGAATGCTATGATGAATGTGGATCAGAAGATTCTGCAACCGTTTACTGAAATCTCCTTGCAATCTCCATCTTCGTCATTGTTATCAACATGCTGTTTTGCTTTACATATCTGCTCATATAACCTATCATCTATATTATTCAACAGTATTGTATATAAGTTGCGTTAAATTTTGCAAAACACAAAATAGTAATCCAAAGATTTTCTTGTGCTTGGCTGTCTTCAGGGTGTAGATCGACGTCGAAGTGTTTCACCGCATACTCTCGAGTACGATCATAGATTATCATTCTCTTCCACGTTTATCCAGCTCGGCCAACATCAAAATACATTTGTCCTTATTCCAAGTGAAGACCTGCTCGAGGTTGTAGCATTCTGCATTTACCGACTTGATAGATATCACTATTTTTTCCATTCGATTAGTGGGGCGTAATGCGCTTGTGGGTCGGGACCTCACCTATTTCTTCAATGCCTGGAACAGCAGAACATAATTCATTCAAGCCATCCTTGTGTTTCGGGAGAAATTCGAGTGGATTGTACGACTCGACGGTGAATTTCACTTTTTTCAAGTACTTCAAACCCAGGAGATGTTCCAATGCCAACTCTAATGAGGTTTCAACAATTTCGAGACCAGTCCCCCCGTAGATGTCAAAAGCTACGTTGGTCGCGTTGACGAATTTGGTGACAGAGTGGGAGTCCGGACGAGTTACGTCTTGAACGAAAGTTAATATCGCGCTCATTGATGCAGATTTTATATATGGCACCAACCTTGCCAGTTATGGATAGTCAACGAGGAGACCGAAAGGCAGCACAACTCAATAACTTCTGTGAAATATTCCAGTGGAACGGGTGGATAACTCGAGATGCAGAGTGTGAGTTGCTGAAGGGACGAGATATCGAACAGAGAGTGAACGTCTCCGAAGAGGGCCTTGCAAAATGCAGGATTGGGAAGATTTGTGACGCGGTTCAGGTATAATGACACCAGTGACGGCCGAGCCACATCCTGCCCTTCGCTCCTCTTCTCTAAGAAATCATCTATGGCATCAGACTCCGGTTCCCTGAGATAGTCATCCCAGCTATCGTCAACTGTAGTGTTTATGATATCGAGAATGCAATGCCGGAGGCCCTGCAGCTCTGATTGCGAGATAAGGTCAAGGAAGGAAATCGGCCTCATCCGAATGTTGCTAAGTTTCATCAAATGCAAGGCGGAGTTCGTTCGCAGCAGTTTCGCGAGTGTGGAGGGGGAAGGGGCAGAGGAGGCGCGTGGATCGTATCCATGAATAGAGATTCGCTGCAACGCATGGAATTTGAGCTTCCGCAAGAATGGCGATAAGACTTCGGGAGGGTATGAAACCAGATGTAGTGATCTGGGTATATCCTGCAGCGTAGACAAAACGTCAACAAGGGATGAGAAGTCTTTTCCTTCCCTATCTAATCTAATAGCTCTCCTCGTAGGAAGTTCGATATGACCCCAGATATGTTTTCGAGCTTGACGGTTCAATGATCGGGATACAAGACTAAGGGATTTCAGCTCGTTGAAAGAAGCGTTTTGGGCGCAGATGTCTATGACATTGTAGAGAAGTTCGAGCGGAAGCTCGCGTTTCAAGCCCATGTGCCGCTAAAGAGAAGCAAAGAGGTAAGGCGGGAAATCACTATCGTCGCAGAGTATGCATGAGCTCACCACACTGATGAGAGACATCTTCAGATCTCGAAGTTAGAAGTAAAATTGTCTGCAAAGGAAACTGTCTGACTATCGAGGCTCGAGTGAACAGAAAGAAGCGTACAGAGAGTGGTGGCACCTAAGCAAAGGTATCACGTACGAAACGTATATAGCACAAAGGGAATTCCAATACAAGGCACTCAACAGGGGGATGAGTGGCGAAAGGCTAGGGTCGTGTCCTTCTGTCTGTGGTCACTTGGGCCAATGCCACAGCAATCTGTTCATTTGGGGCACATTGGAGATCAAAAGCATCGGATGTTACGCTTCTGAAGCAGAGCATTGAATCATTCTGTGAATAAAACGAAATGAGATATAATAACTCACCAGCAGAACTCCGAACTATATCCGTTTGGGGTAAAGTCAAGGTGAAGTAACCTTAACTTTGTCTGTCTTGACTTGCTTTTCAAGCTCAAGAGTGTCAATGATATAGAGCTGAAAGAGTCATTTATTAACGAGATATAGAGAGTTGGAGGCTGTACATGTCGGTGAGAAGAACTAAATGATAGCAAATCATCTTCTCTGCCATGTACCATACTGCGTGGACTCAGAAACATTCCTCTCTTCCTTCGGACAGGATAGCGCCACCACCTAGACCAAGCTCTTCCCAGTCCAACTCGAAATCTAAGGGAAAGAATGTTAAATCAGACCAGGGGCCTCCAAAAAGTAAAGAAGTACGGAGACTCGAATCGTTGCTTTCGTCGCTCAAAGGCTCGGAGTCACCTAAGAAGGATCCCAAGGGTGGCTGTTTCTGCCAAGGTATGTCTTTTAGCTCATCGCCTTCTATAACCTGATCAAGTATACTCTTTAGCTCGAAATCATCCTCTATCCTCGTACACGCCAATCTGTCGAACCTGTGGTCTAATCCTCTGTAATGTCAACCAGCCGTACTTTGCATGCCCGCATTGCCTAGCATCCCTTATATCCGGGAATATTCGCGATTCTCTCGTGAGCCGTATACAAGCCCAATTGGACCAAACAATAGCTAGGGAAGTGGCCGCTCGAGAGCGCGCTATCGAAGAAGCCAAACAACAAGCTGGTGCTTTTCCTACACTCTACGGGACCACACCTACTGCCAAACCTATTGCTCCCCAGCCGCAGACTCATAAAGTCCTGTCACTCAATTCTAAATCGAAAAAAGTTCTTCTTTCGTCTTACACATCCACGCCAGCATCTTCGAGACCGGCTTCTCGCTCAGAAACCGAGGACGAAGAAGCGGCTATCACGCGAATACCTCCGCCTTCTATGGAGATGAACTTCGCACGGGGTAGCATTGATCCTGCTCGACCATGGGCCAATCTTGTCAACGAAAACCCGGAATACGTCTCTCCGCCAACTCAGGGAGAACCTGCTAGTCGGAGAAGACGGAGGAAAGGGAAGGATAGAGATAACGGGTCCAGGGCTCAGGATGACAATGTCACTGCTTCACGCCCATAACTCGCATCTGTCAATGTTCAAACGTTCCCTCGGGTGTGTACGCTGCAGCGCCGTTGTTCTACTCCATGTCGTCGTCTGGTATACAGAGCGTATTCATTTTGATTCGATATAGCGTGCTTCGAAGAATCAGGTCATCCAGAAGTGCAGCATCTGGCATAAACGTGTACAACTCTTTTTGACGTACGAAAGCGACAGACTCAACATCATGCAGTCTCATGTGGAAACTAGCAGCAATTATAGTCTATTAGTGTCTCGTACAAGAATGAAGAGGATTTCGTCGTGCAGGTGACTCTGGAACTTCGCTGGATGCGGTTACTCGATATCGAGGTTCGTATTATCTCGCATGACTTTTGGTTGAGCTTGGCGGAGGCCTCAAGTTGAGATGAGTCTCCTCGTACAGTCCTAGACTGTTCCAATCTGTGTAGCATGCGAGATCTTATGATTCTGCGGGCGAACCGCAGTCATTTCTAACTTCTACCAAAATAGAAGTTCTGCTAACTACGGTAGTCGAAGGTCCTCTCTATAGAATGTAAAACCCCTCGGCTTGCACTCTTCGCTTCAATTGCCTCCTGGATTCATTCAAAAGAGCCTCGATATCTTCATCGTCCACACTCCTGCTTTCCTACCCCTCTAAGAATGTTACGCAGAGTCTCCATCCTCGTCTTACTCGGTCTTAGCCTTCATTTTCTCTGTGCCGCTAGTCCTACAAAGCGACACGGGGTTTCTATCGCGCTCCCAAAACGTTCATCGCTCACTAAACTCGATGGAACCTTTGATTATGATAGGGCTGTTGCTCAGACAGTCGCCACTCAGAACAAGCACCGTCAGAACTTGGTCAATTACCTGAACAACTTTGGTTATCTTCCCGAGGTTGGAATTTGCTTTAGCTGAAGAAAATATCACTAACATTGTCCGCTCTTAGGGAATGGAAATCAAGCCTGTTGTTACCGCTCCGCCTCGTAATCAGTCCCGCTTCGATAAACGCTAGACTGAAGCCTTGATTGACGAAGGTGACGATGAACTTTGGGCGGGCCAAATTTCCATCGGCAGTCCTGCACAGAAGTTTTTGGTCGACATTGATAGTACGTTCCCATTCTCCCTTTACTATTTTCATGCTCGTTTCCTCAACACTCTTGTCACAGCTGGCTCCTCTGATCTATGGATTCCATCGTCTTCCTGCAAGAGTAGTGTATGCTCATCAAAGCATAAATACAACGCCGGTAGTTCTTCAACGTCCAAGAAGCTCTCCGGCACCTTTTCGATTCAATATGGAGACGGCTCGTCGGTCTCTGGGCCGATCTATGATGACACCGTAACTGTCGCTGGCATTACCGTCACAGAACAGACACTCTCTGGTGTTACTGAGCTGTCTTCTGACTTTGAAAACGACCCAACTGATGGGTGCGTATGCACATCATGAATAAGTCTGCAGAATATTGATGACATAATACCTTGTAGCGTCTTTGGGTTTGCCTATCCTAAAATTTCCAACCTCCAGGCAAACACTTTCTTCGTGAATGCATTTCTCCAGGATGCCGTTTCCTCCAATGAATTCAGCCTCTTCCTTGCCTCGTCTGGATCGGAGCTCTTCCTCGGTGGGACCAACACTGAGAAGTATTCCGGTGTCCCCGAGTTTCACAACGTCGATCTTTCTACTGGATTTTGGCAAATAAGTGGAGCAAGTATAACGTATGGATCCTCAACTGCAGTGTCTGGTTTTGAAACTATTATCGACTCTGGCACAACTATCATGTATGGCCCGCCTGCCGCCGTGAAGAAGTTTTATGCCAAAATATCTGGGTCTCAGTTATACGATGCTACGAATGGGCTCTATTCCTTCCCTTGTAGCACTTCTTCGTCGATATCCTTCAGTTGGGGTGGTAAATCGTTTGCTATATCGTCGAAAAAGTAACCGTTCTGTACCATTTCTCTCTGAGCTCAGTCTTATTGATTATCCTTATCGGTTTCCTAGCTTCAATCTCGGACAAACTGGTACGGGATCTGCTCAGTGTGTCGGCGCTCTTGCTGGCCTGGATCTTGGTCTCGGTAGCAGTACTTGGCTGCTTGGTGACAGGTATTTTTTTCCGGCCGCTAACGTTGCACATATTTGAATCATAATTCACTTTCCCCTCTAGTTTCATGAAAAATGTTTATACTGTGTTCAGCTTTGAGCAGAACGCTGTTGGGTTTGCAAGCCTAGTCTAAGAAAGGAATGAACTCTGTTGAGGGGTACATACATACAATGTATCCCACATGTAATGGATGTCTTTTAACTCGTAGTCCTCCCGAGTCTGGTCCGTATTTCGACGTTTTTTGATATATGTATGCATGCATTGATCTTGGTATGAACGTGAAGTAATTCCATTAGATTCGGAGCTTCAGTCATGTCAAGAATATCATGATCTATTCCGTGTTTGAACAGGTTTGAACCTTCTTAAAAGTATATCATGTTTCTGCTTGAAGGCCCTTCCGCTAATCTCATCGGAGAAATTCTCCAGTGATCGTAAACCGGTATGATAGGGCGTTGGTTTTGTAATAGGTGCATGTTTGCCAGCTAGCATCCGCACTAACCTAATGTATTGCCGCGGTATACCTATCCGAGAATAAAAGTCATGAGGGTTACAGCTGAGTACATGAAGGCTTCGCAAGCCGGTGTGCTACTGGCATGGATATCCTTCCCGTCGAAATCGCGGAGGAGATTCTGACGAAGTGCTCGAAGAATGTGCTCACATGCGTGGCTCGAACTAGCAAGGCCTTCTGTACGCTTTCCGAAATGATTCTATATGATGACATACGTCTCGACACTGCTGTCTGTACACACACAGAAGCTCTTCGCGGTTGTCTCAGAACGTTATCAGGACAAACTCGGAAAGCAACCTATGTCAGGACCTTTGACCTCTACATTTTTAGAGCGTTGCAGGAACCCGAATTGAATCACCTCTCTGCTGCCTTGTTCAGCATGAGCAATCTCAAGCATCTCTCACTGGACGTTGAAAACTTTCATGCACCATCGCTCGCGACCGTTCTCGCAAGTGCTCTGAGGCAAGCGTTGCTTCGTTGGCTTGCAAGAATACTAACGAGTTTGAAAATCTGTAGGAGATCGACTTTTTCATTGCATGCCTTGAGGATTCCAAGTGTCATTGAATGCGATTCTTGGATCGCATCCCAGCAGCACTTGGAGGCCCTAGCGATATACGATCATAGTGGGGCTCATTGGGAGCCAGAAGCCAGAGACTCAGTGATTCGTATGCAAACTTGGGCCAGACAATCCAGGTCACCAAGTAAAAATATTTTCCTCGTCAAATATCGCCATGGATGGCCCAGCGATCTCATAGCTCTGTCACAGTCGTGGAACGCAAAGTACTTGGCCAGCCTTTTTGCATTCCCCCAGTTCATCTCAGTGCTCTATATCTTCGTAGACAGTCCTAGTATGAACATCTACATTGGTACTGAGGCTTCACGTTCATTTCCTGCCGTTGAGACACTGGTTCTGGCTGCAGAAGACGATAGACTGCAACAGGTTAGTGCGACTTTCCAACCAGACGCAGCTCTCTTTTGAAAGCCGGGTTATACATAGATATCGAACTTGAATGTCATACCTATGATTTTTGCGCCATTTCCAAAGCTGAAACTCCTACGCATTGGCTCATGGAATGGTCCGTGTCGCGATATAATGAACACGCACAACAGAACCGGTCTAGCACGGTCATGGTTTTCGAAGAGTAAATCCCTGCGATCTGTTATTTTTCCAGATATGTCAATTATTCACCGATCAGAATAATTATGCATATATAGGAAATCGTGAAAATCAGACACCTACGTACATTGATCATACTTTCTCTTTACAACTTTTGTCCCATTACATCTCCAATCGCTGATGCATTGTCGCTGAGATCTGCTGGAACACGTGGGGTAGCTTCCTCGTTTAACGATCAAGAGTATCCACCTTTTGGCTGTTAAGTTCAAGACTTGTCTCTAGTGATTTACCGATGTCGTGTATTTGGTTGCTGTTTAGATTTGAACGACGACGCAGACCCCGTGGTTGCGTTCGTGGCCGATTTTAGAATATACAAATTGACTTGTACAATTTGCTACCCGCATGTGAGCCAATAATACATCCTTGAATTATAGCGGTGGTCTCAGCAAGCTAAGGGTTATCTTAGGGGAAAGCAATATTGAACAGTGTAGAAATAACGTACCTCTTGTGAACCGTGGATTCAATTTGCTTTCGTTTCCTCCCATTCTTCCTTCCCAACAAGTTTGTTATTGAGTGAAAAGAAAAAATACTTGTTTGCATCTCAGACGAGTTATAATCAGTGTCATGACACGATACAAACAAACAGATGTTTCAAGAGGAGCGAGGATGGACCTGGCCATGTATGGACATTGCAAGGAGTACATAAAGGACTTCTGTCCCGGCCCGTTGTCCTGCCGCTCTCAGGCTTCTTCTCAGTACTCAGTACTCAGTAACCAGGCCTGCTCAAATTCACTCCAAACACATACTTTGGACCGTCATAATAAAGAATGAAACAGAGAGAGAAGAGTAATGTTCAATGACTGGAAAATTTCTCGTGACTAAAATTTTTCTCTTACAGGTTGTATTTAGAGCCATTATCCGCGTCCATTCAAAATAAGAGCCGCTAACCGTGTCATGAACTCATTATGTTCGCTAAACTATGTTGAGTTTGCGTAAACATGTAATCTTGTGCATCACCTCTGGAGAACCTATAAAGCCTATAAAGTCTCGTTCAATCTTTCAGAGTGATTTGTTATTCGAGCCATGAGACTTGAAAACTCAGAGGATGCTTTAACCTCCATAGGTTTATCTCTTCTCGCGTTCGTCGCTTGTTATCTAGTCCTTCGAGCCTCCGCGGGGTCTGCGCGTACACTACCTGGTCCCGGTTCATACCCTATCATCGGCAACATCTTATCTCTTCCAATCCAGAACCCATGGTTGACTTTCACCAAGTGGAAGGTTATCTTCGGTGAGTTCTTGAAGTTCTGTATTAATGCAGATTGTGCTCAGCTGAGGTCTGCATGGTAGGTGATGTCGTACATCTTCGCGGCCTTCGACAATCAATCATCATTCTAAATTCGAAGCAAGCCATGGATGATCTTCTCGACAGAAGGGGCGCCATATACTCTAATCGACCACAGTTTACTGTCGTCGAAATGATGGGTCTAGATAGGGTACGTACATCATGCTTGCCCTTTCAGTACGCTGAAATTTCTGTTGATGATAGGGAATGCCCCTGTTACAACATAATGACACATGGCGCCTCCAACGAAAGCTTGCAAAGACAGCTCTTAACAATGATGCGGTCAAAGAGTACGAGGACACACAAGCTGAAGTTGCAGCCATGATGTGCCTCTCCCTCTTGACGGATCCGACGCATTTTCGGGAACACATTCGGCTGTAAGCTCAGCCATTCTCGTAGGTAAACTTATGGAACTAATATCGTTTAATGTCCCCCAGTGCTGCGGGAAGAATAATCATTTCTATAACTTACGGGCTTCCTGTCTCTGATGCGCAACACAGAGTAGGTGTTCAAGTTTCTTCGTCCCAATGCTTATTCATTATGGGTTTCTTAGCTTATAACCGAGATGGACAAAATTGTGCCAATGCTCAGTGATGCTACTATGCCTGGTACTTTTATTGCAGATTTATTTCCGATCTGTGAGTAGTGACCACATATACCCTTTGAATTAAACTGAAAGCCCTTTGAATATCAGTTAAAAATCTCCCGGACTGGGTGCCGTTCATGTCCTTTAAAAAGGAAGCTAAAAAAATACGCGCTATAGTTGACCGCCTGGGGGAAATTCCATTCGCTCAGGTGCAAAAAGAAATGGTACGTTGGCCGCTTGCTACAGTATCCTCACTCAAGCGCATTCTCTATATAGGCAGCGGGAACTGCACAAGTTTCTTTCACTCAAAAACTTCTAGCAAATCGCTCAGGTGAAGATGACGAGTCCCAATATAATGATGCGGTTAAGTGGTCAGGAGGGTCAATGTATGGTGGTACGTCCTATAGCTGCACTACTTCTAAAATATCAAAATGTGCTGATGAAGTTCTAGCTGGAGGAGAAACAGTAGGTGTTTTCTTCCCCCGGACTCGATGAAAATGTCTGACATCATGAAGACGCATACATCTGTTCTGGTGTTTCTTATTGGCGTGATGCAGAACCCCGCTGCACAGAAAAAAGCACAAGATGAGCTTGACGAAGTGATCGGGAAGGATAGGATGCCTACTCTTGAAGATCGAGCACAACTGCCCTACGTCGATGCTATTATAAAGGAAATCATGAGGTGGAGACCCGCATTCCCGTTAGGTATCCCTCGTCGCGTGGATAAAGACGACGAATACGCTGGATATTGCATACCGGCCGACTCTATAATCATCCCGAATGTCTGGTGAGTCGAGGATGGTTGTTCGGCTTTTGGATTATACTCTAAAAGAACGGCACAAAGGGCGGTAGCTATGGAAGTTCCATCCGGCACAAAGTATCCAGCGGCAGATTTTGCTCCCGAACGATTCTTGGAAGAGCATCCCCCCGTCGATCCCGCCTTGTATGCGTTTGGTTTCGGTAGACGGTAAGATGACCCAGCTCATTCTCAGCACGGTGGAAAAGTGATTAGTTCCACTAGGGTTTGTCCAGGACGACTTTTGGCGGAAAACTCTATCTTCCTTCTCGTAACGTCCATCCTGTACTGCTGCACAATTTCAACACCTTCGAATCATGGCCAGAAGCACTCAGCTGAAGCAATTGAGTTCAGTACCACTGGTCTTGTTAGGTGAGTGTCTAGAAGTTCATCAAGCAGGCATTCTCCTAATCATTTGAGTACAGTCATCCCATGCCTTTTTCATGCCGTATCGAACAGAGGTCTGCAGATCGTTTTGATGTTGTCAAACGGGCAGTTTCAAGATACACATGATTGTATCTTGGATTTATTTACGTGGTCTTATCGTAACACAACACCCTACTCTTCACAAAATATAGCGATTTAATTCAAAATACAGTATGAGCGAAATCAACGGAGTCAAGTACCCATTGAAGACTATGTATAGAGGATTTTTCAAGTGATGCGAGGCGAAATTGTGCGCCGTATGTAACGTAGTCGGTTTAAGGTTCGTCCACTCCGACATTCAGAACGAGACTATCTTTGCGAAGTTCGTGTACACAACCAGTTTAAGGTGTTTCATCGAGGATCCTGGTCAAGCCATTGGGGGGAATTATTTTTGCCTGGTAGTAATTACTTGGTCTCCTGTGTCTCGGGATAACATACTGGACTTCAAGGAAGCAAGCAATACATCCACGAACAAAGTTTAACCAGTGTGAAAAACAAGGGTCAGGGAGACAACATGAAAGAGGAGTGCTCCTATGCTTGACAGAAATTTCAAGAAAGGTTCTGTAATAGCAGTACAATGCGTACAAGAATGCCCACGCGGGCGTTGCATACCGCGGACGCTCTATAAGCATATCTTTACAGGATGGCTCTGTGAGCGCTCCAGATATTAAGCAACCAGGGCCTCCATAGAGGAGAGATTGCAATTTATGGGATTGTAAAGATTTCCGAAATGCGATCAAGATTTTGCTCCAGACAAAACAAAGGACGTGTTTAGTGCAAGTGAGCGCCATCGATATCGGTAGCTTATGCGAAGGGAGATGCAAAACACGACTGATACACTGGATAACTTAGATTACAGTGCCTGCTGACCAAAATCTTGAGCAAACACCTGCTGAACCTACATGTGCTGAACGGAGTCTGATTTTTTTCCGGCGGGAATCTGGAGAGCACGCGTGAGAAAGCGGATTAACTATGAAGTTAGTTTTTACGGAAAATTCTCGAGCTTTCGTGAGAAATCCTCCAATTGTATTTGTTAGAATATAATCACGTTATATTCAGCAGCAATGGCAGTAAGAGATAGAGTGCACACAGCACTGTAGTTGATCACACAGATCAGACGATGAAGGAGTAGAGAGAACTACTTATTCGACAAGACGAATACTACAGGTTTATATACAAGTCCAAGGTAGACGATGTCATGTTACAGCTAAACATAGCGAGAGAGAAAGGAAGTACAATACGATGTATCCTACTGGTAGTCCTATAGTAATAGTACACAATGGTGGGATTGATAACACGACGGTGAGACTGATAACACGATAGTGAGATAGTGGTTTGTAACAAGAGAACAATGTTCCATAGATGGTATGTGAGTCATCAAATGTTAACACTCCCCCTCAAACCTTTGTTAGTCCCATGGACGCAGCGAAGTGTTTGGCCTTAAGAGATGGAAGCGCCTTTGTAAAGATGTCTGCAGTCATGTCCTCTGTAGGGCAGTAAACAAGGCGGATCTTTCCTTCTTCGATGACATATCAGATGAAGTGGTATCGAATATCAATGTGTTTGGTTCGGGCATGGAAGCGATCATCTTTAGCAAGAGCGATGGCGGATTGGTTGTCGGCATTGAGAATGATTGGTTTTGTGATAGGACCAAATAGTTCCGATAAGAGATTCCTAAACCAAATTGCTTCCTTGGCAGCATGAGTCAAAGCAATATACTCAGCTTCCGTGGTTGATAATGAGATGGTATCTTGTCGCTTGGATGACCATGACACTGCTCCTCCATTGAGCATGAAAACGTATCCTGAGATAGCATGTCTATCCTCCTGGGACATTCCATCAGCGTCCGTGTATCCTTCGATTTCTGCTTGTGTTCCTCCGAATGTGAGCCATAGGTCTCGGGTGTATTTGAGATATGCATAAACACGCTTTACAGCATTCCAGTGAGTAATTCCGGGGTTCTGCAAAAACTTTGCCAGTATGCCGACTGCATAAGTGATGTCAGGTCGAGTTGCTACTGATAAGTATTGTAGGGCGCCAACAGCTTCTCTGTAGGGCTTGTCGCGCATGTATGTGATATCCTCGACGGTAGTTGGCATCTGGTCCTTGGTAAGATGTATGTGTGGATCAAATGGGATGGAAAGGGGTTTGACATCTGCAAATCCATATCGAGATAGGATCACGTCAATATATGCCCTTTGGGATAAATGAATGGACCGTGTATGTAGAGATCGGCGGATCTCAATCCCTAGTAACCAGTGAATCTCTCCAGAATCGACAACTTCGATCTGGTCCCTGATCTTCTTCTTTAGAGTGTCCATTACAGCCATGGTCTTGGTAAGCATAGTCATATCATCGACGTGGATGAATATGATACAAAAAGGGTCAGTTCGATAGAATATGGCATGATCGAAATTTGACCTGGTGAGACCGACTGATGTCATGATCTCCCTGAATCTCATGTACCAACGGCGACCAGCTTGTTTAAGTCCATAGAGGGCGAGCTTGAGTTTAAGCACTTGTCTTGCTTTAACTTCAATGTCGACACCTGGTGGTGCCTTCATGTAGATTTGTTCATTGTCGTCCAGTTTACCATATAGATATGCCGATTTGACATCCATCTGGTGAATGAACATGTTCTGTTCAGCTCCTGTGCTGAGAATGGCTCGGGCTGCTGCTAGCTTTGTGACTGATGCGAACGTTTCATCTGGGAAGTAGTCAACGTCTGGTATCTGGTTAAAACCTCGTACCACTAGTCTGGCTCTGTGACCTGTGACTTTTCCTTGTTCGTCTCGCTTGGTCCTGAATACCCATTTTGATGTGAGGATGTTGGCATCATCAGGTGGAATGACAATATCATATGTCCCGCGCTGTTGTAATCTACGGATTTCCTCATTCATGGCTTCCCGCCATTGAGACCAATCGGGACGTCGCATTGCTTCTGCAACTGATGTGGGGTCAGCGATGATTTCACCTGTTACTTGACCAAGTGATGCTGTAAGATGCCTGAGCTCTCGGTTCGGCTCTCCAAGTCCATTGATGATGTCCTGGATTTTCTTGGTCGGCTTCCTGACGCGTTTTCCTGTGATTATATCTGGGTTGATGGGTTCGGCAATTTCCTCCGGTACTGGTATGATAGGCTGTTCCGACTCGGTGATCGATGTTTCCAGATTTCCCAAATCCTGATCCTCCCCCTCAACGGGTTGGATCTGCCTATCAGAGAATTGCACATTACGTTCAGTTGAGACTGTGTGGCGATCTGGCCAATAGATGAAGTAACCATTGGACTCTGGCTCAATGCCTACCCATCGTCCTTCCTGTGCTTGAGGGTCAAGCTTCCCAGGCTCCTTTTCACGTTTAACATAGACCGTGCTTCCAAAGATGTGGAAGTTGGAAATGTCGGGGATTGTGCCAAATCGTTTCTCCCATGGAGAAATCATACCATTTGCCTTCTTTGGTGTCCTGTTCCATACATACACTGTGTAGCCCATCATGAATCCCCAAAGCCATTTCGGTAATCCAGATGATATCATGAGGCTGCGTACTCCATTGAGTAGCGTCCTGTGGCTGCGTTCCGCTATGCCGTTGTGTTCCGGAGTGTCATGTACCGTAAGGCTACGCTTAGTGCCTAATCGTTCCAGGTATGCTGTGAATTCACCACTGAGAAATTCTCCCCCTCGATCAGAGTGGAGTTTCTTGACCGTTACGCCATATTGAGTTTGGAGACCAGTTTGGAGTATTACGTATTGAGCGAAAGCCTCATCTTTGCCCTTCATTAACGGTTCCTCCAACCAACTGGTGGCTTCGTCAATGACTGTCAATGCGTAGACATAATGATTTAGCGTCTGGACAGAAGCTGGTCCCCATACATCCATGTGAAATACATCACCGAATTTCTCCGCTCTCGGGAATGTTCGAATTTTGGAGATTGGAGATCTGGCAGCTTTAGCAAGCATGCAAGTCCGGCATTCGGGTTCTTCCATCTGCTTAGGATCTAACTTGATCCCGTGAACCTGGTTTGATTTGAACATATGCTTGACATAAGCATAGTTCTGGTGGCCAGCGATGCAGTGTGCTTCATAAAGCAAAACCATCCTGGTTGCCTTCCCGGCATAGGCATATTCTGCGCTCGGAATCTGGTAGAGACCATTTGTCTTGGGAACGATTCCAATCGTCTCCCCCTGTCTATTGATGATCTTAAGAGTTCCATCTTTAATTACCATCACATATCCTGCATCGTCGAGTTTACCCAATGATACAAGTGTGTTAGGCGTGTTGGGGCATAGGAGAGTGTTTTGGAGTGTAAGCGATTTCGAAATCCCATCCTCGTTGATTGGAAGATCGATTTGGAGATTTCCGGCAGTATTGGATGTGAAGGTCTCGGCGTTAGCTGCCTGGATAATTCGGGTAGGGACACTCCGCATGTTGCGAAGTTTGTCCTGAAGTGGAGTCATGTGGGATGAACATCCTGAGTCAAACAGAATTGCCCCACTGCTGTGAGACGCTACGAAGGCTGTCTCATAATTATTAGCAATTTCGGAAAAATTAAATATTTCCTGTGACGTAGTTGTGGTAACTTCCACGGCTGCCCACGATGACTCGGGTACTTCCTCAATGGTGGCTGAGGATCCCACTTCTTTATTCTTTGATCTCCAACTAGTACTGCCGCTTCCAGACGGTTGGTTTTTCTCCTTCTTCTGAGAACTCTCTTGGGCCTCGTTGGCCTGTTGTCGCTTCGGCGAACTGCATTTATTAGCGAAATGCCCTTTTCCACCGCAATTGTAGCATGTGGAATTGTTCGAGTTTGGTCGACTTTGACCTCCTCCTCTATTACCATTTCCTCTGCCCCTGGACTGGCCTCTGAAGTTTCCACGATTTCGGTTAAATCCACCCCTGCCGCGGTTGGAATTTCCACCGGCATAGTTTGCAGATTCCTTCTTTCCAGACTGTCCTCGGGTATGACCAGATGCTTCAGCACGTATCGTCGAAACTAGCTCCCTTGTGGTCAGCGGGACTGAAGTCCTTGCTGCAACCACTACCAATGCGTTAATCGTTGGTTTGAATATGTTTGGGATGGAAGCAATGATCGTGTTATTGAACATTTCCTCGGGAATGGTGATTTTCCGCGCCTCCAAACTGTCCCTGATTTCCAACAATTTATCCAAATGCTCATTAACCTTTGATGGTTCATGGCAGTGCATGGAATGAAGCTGT